TATAATTTGTTAGGCGTAGTTTGTGTAATTTTGCAATTCTCTGAAGGTGTCATTAATCTTGGCATTGGCATTTTTATGGATTAAGTTATCTGAAACCATGAACAGTCAGTCCTGCTACCCATTTACATCAATATTCCATATTACTTAAATTGCTTCAAATACAATAACGTTATTTCATTAAATTTGAGAGCTCAACGTCGGGAACTAATCCCAAATGTATCTGGTATTGTTCGATTTCACTGGCAGCAATATTAGCTGTGACTTGATTGAAGGAAATCAGATATGATTAAAATGGAAATACCTAAATCCCTGCGATGCATCTTGCATGTCCATTATACCAAAATCAACGCTATTTGTATCCAGCGACACATCTATACCTTTACAGTATATATTATCACATTTCGGAATAATATAATATATGTACATACATCATTATAAGTAGGATATTTTCTCTAAAATTCATTCAGAGTGTTTTTGCAACAAATTACGAAGTCTTGCGTAATCTCTATGGGATGGCTCAAACATTTTATCAGGATTTGTTGCATTTAATTTGTGTATTTTGAGGTGAGATGAAAATTAAAAATATTCTATTTGTCTGCCTACCAAGAAAAGTAACTAATACATTCATTCCAAAAAGGAAAAATAATTTGCTATCAATTTACCACTAAACAGAACACAACTGAACAAACTGGTCTCTCAACAAAAACAATGAAAAGAATTTTGTAAATTTTTTTTAAAACAAACCTGATATCTGCAGAATTCCAAGTTGAACCTTTTGGTTACCGTACCAAATATCATTAAAAAATGATAAACCACTTCTTGACATATCGCGCAAACCAATTGTTTGGACGGAGAGACTGACGGACGGAGGGTAATTAGATGTCCTCAACGCTGCGCTACATGCGCGTTGTGGGATATAAAAAGGACAACTACTATGAAGAATAAAATTATTCCATGGATAATGTCGAATATAGATAATGATATCAAGTATCTCTATCCACGTATATTATATAATTATCGGCTTTACTTTGATGTTTAATGACCCTATAGATCAGATTTCAATTAAATTAGAAATGATGTTATTTTTGACAGAAATATTGCAATGTCTTAGTTATTTTGAAAAGCAGTAAAGTAGAGTTTATAAAAAAAATAATTTCAGTCGTCAAGACTTATAAACAAGAAAAATACTAGATTTCACATATATTGTTAATCTTTTACATATTGCGTTAAAAATAGTTTTTATATTTTGCGTTAGGTGTTTACATATTGCGTTAAAGACATGATTTAACATTGTGCGTTAATTTGTTGCATACTGCGTTATTTATTACGTTTTGCGTTAAGTTGTTACATATTGCGTTAGTTTTCACATATTGTCTTGATTTGACATATTGGGGTTGTACAACAGTTACATTGTAACTATTGGTGATCGAGAGCTACATCCTGTATGCTCTATCTCAAGCAAAGGCTCGTCCATAACACGATCAGGGTATACCATTTCGAAACTACAGCTGCATATTTACAAGGACGCTGGCTCAATGCCAACAAAGCGAGCGCAGAGTGACCTAATTCAGACACGCCAGTCCTGAAAATAGACGACGAAGGATAAACCCACGAAGCGAAATTAGAAGTAGACATTACTTCCAGAACATGAGGAAATATCTCTTGGTAAGTAACATACATGGGTTGTTAATATGAATGCTAGTTTATATGTTATCCTGCACATATCGCTTAACGGTCTTCACTAACTGGTAGCACAGTACTCGTCCCGTGTTAACTGAGTTGGATGCACATATCATGAATGCTTGTTGTCGGTATGTAAACACGTATTTCATAAACCAGCCTTACCAGCGTTGTCGTTTAAAGGACATGGTATGCTTGATGTTCAGTGATATGCAGACAGGAGAGAGATCCATACGACATCTGGTTTCCAATAACATTTAACCATCCTCTATCACCCACGCCCATATTACTATTTTAGAGTTTACTTTGAGTACCCCCTTTGCGAAACGGGCGCGAGAAAGGAGACCTGTATAAATGCTTGAGTTCATGTTACAACCAAATATAATGGGTATGTTGTGTTACTGACAGGAAAACCAAGTTAACATATTTAATCATTAGGCCATGTGAAACAGTGTATTCGTCATATAATGTGAGGTAAATTTACCTTATCCATGGTAATTTGGTAAGTAACAAATTACTGAACAGGAAGCTGTGGAAATCTAGACTTGCCACATTTTCTAAACTTGCGTGGGCTTTCCGGGATATGTTTGCTTAAGTGTCTGTATGGCAGACTAACGTATTGTATAAGATATCTAATCTGTTATGATATTGCTGTTTGTAAGTGTAATATTACAACAGTATGTCTTATGTTACAAAGGTTTAAGAATGGAGGATTCAAACGGGAGACAGGTTGTCCACTTCCGACATTTTGGGGCAGGGACGACTTTTGTTAGTGACAGACAGTGTTGCGTTATCGTTGACATCTGCAGGAACTATGCTGTTACTGACAGGCTGCACACGGCAGGTAAGTTATTTAAAACAAGCTACACACATTTGTCTCCCCAATATTTGAATTGGTTAAAACAGAACTATAAGCTGAAATCAATGAGGTACATCTGTCTTCAATAATACTACAGCCCACAAAAGTCATATTAAGATCATTAATTTTCCAAACCACTAAATATATGACGGGGTGGAGAGGGGTCTGAAGCCCCATAGTATAGGACTCCACGCAGTTGTCCCAGGTGACTTGCATAAAGCGTTCATAGAGCGTGTAGTTCAACATGGGTGTAGGACTGTGATAAGAACTAATTTACGTTTGAGGAAGGATATAATAAATATGATATCTCTCTAAGGTTGTCTGTATACAAGTAATGTCTTCGCTCACAAGCAAACAAGGCTATGATGTCAATTTTCGGGTATTCTAAGAGGGTTGGAGGTATGCCATGTAAGGATTTACTAAAGATATTTGATAGAATGGTCGTGCCAGTTGTGTCTTACGGCTCAGAATTCTGGGGCATATACTATAGTAGAAGTAGAAAGAGCACAGTTGAAATTCTGTAACTGGATTCTTAGAGTTGGTATATCTACATCAGATAATATGGTATTGGGGTGAATGTAGGCGTTTGCCTCTACAGATTTGGGTTTGGTTTTGTCTGGGTTTCCCAGCAGGTTGGTTGCATAAAATATTTCATCTCTTTATTCAGACAAAGATTATCAGATAATTTGCAACAGTTATGGATCAAGCGTAAGCACTTCCTCCAAGTGTAACTACTATAGACAGTTTAAATCATTGTTAAACGTAGAATTATATTTGTCAGGGGATATTCCTTATTACTTAAGATCTTCAATGCCTAGATTCAGATGCCAACATTACGGTCTTGCTATAGAAACTGGTAGATACAATACGGGTTTGTTTATTTTGTAAATTTAAGAAACAATATTTTATTGAAGATCAGCTTCACATACTGTTTGTCTGTGAAACCTATGATATTCTTAGAAAGAAATGAATACACCCGTTTATGCGTTATGTTAAATCTCATAATGTTCCGCAAGATATGGTGAATTTACTGACATCACGCAATGTTTCTACCTTGCATAGTATATGTTTGTATTTATATAAAGTATGGACATTGAGAGCCAACACTACTAACCCACAAGTGTTTAGCCTTACAGATATTGCTGGTACACAGTGATGTCTCTACCTTGCATAGTATGCGTTTGTATTTATATAGAGTACATTGCACATTGAACGTTTTAATCATCAAATTTCTAATTTATCATTTGAAGGAAAACGTATGGTAGAGAGATGGTATGTCGTATATTTCTCCAATGTGATAAGGAACAGTGTGTTTTAAATTGCAACCAGAGGAATATTTACCCATCCTTTATGAACATATTGAAATAAATGCATGTATACATACATTGCTCGATATAATGTGACGTTAATATTATGAAAATTTAAATGCAAAACATAGCAACATTTCCTTGTAGCGTCTGTCAATGGTTATTATTAGTTCATTGTTTAATACGCATCTATTTTCTAGAGCTTGTTGTAAAATTCTACTAGTAAATATATGTTACACGCATAAGCTGTGCCGAGAAAAGGAAAAGCTAATATCAACAACGATTAACTGTTCAAAACACATTATGACGGGGTATTGTGAAACATGCATTGAAATAAAAAAATAAATATGTAGTTTTTTAGAAAGCAGTTCTTTAGCACATATTCAATGTATGGTAACTATTTAATGTTTTTTATTGTTTTATTAATAAGATAATGTTTATATTCTGCTGAAAATTCAAATGTTCGTCATGGCTATTTACTTGTATATAGACCCGTGAAGATGCCGGGGTAGAATAGGTCTTCAGCAACCCATGTGCTTGCCATGAAAGGCGACTATGCTTGTCGTAAGAGGCGACTAACGGGATCGGGTGGTCAGGCTCGCTGACTTGGTTGACACATGTCATCGGTTCCCAATTGCGCAGATCGATGCTCATGCTGTTGATCACTGGATTGTCTGGTCCAGACTCGATTATTTACAGACCGCCGCCATATAGCTGGAATATTGCTGAGTGCGGCGTAAAGCTAAACTCACTCACTCACTTGTATATATATAAAGTTCATATATCAAAATCGATTTCAGAGTTAAGCTGAAAAAAGAATCTTGTACACAACCGATATTACGCTTGTATTTGATTGCGGATAGATTATTTAATGGTAAAATAAAGCCAAATTGACCGTCACTATTGTTTACCAAAAGGAATACGGACGTAGCTCAGCGCTTAAACAACTTCCATTAATGTACATTTCAGAGTGTACATCTCTGTTTCACCTACACTGGGAGGGTCATGACAGTGGGAATGAGACATCCAGTATTACGGTGTCGGAAGCAAATGGTGACCACAAGTCAACAGTCATAACCCCCGACCATGTTAACAACCTCCTCAAGCATCACCCAGCGTTACATGACTTCACCACAAAGATGCTCACGGCACACCAGGTTCAGCTGATCCACGTGGAATACGCCCCACTTGTTCTGACGTTCCAGCACTGTGTGGGTTCAGACAGGAAAACATTGGTGTCCAGAAAGCACAAGGTTCTTCTGTTGGTGAAAGAATTCCTAAAACATTCCATAGGCTCTGAACATTTGGAAACTTTGAATATTGAAATACTTGATAGAAAACCAATTGTCCTTGGAAATTTACATTATCAGTACTGCGTGGAGGAAAATCCCCGAATGCAGTAAGTATTGAAAAGCCTCAGATCTACATTCTTATATTCTGATAAATGCCTTAAAACCATAGCAACATCTATGAATGCTGATAATGTTTCTGTTTGTATTGTGAATGTAGGTCAGCAACAAGACACAAGGAAATACCACATGAGATTCCAGATACAATAGAAAAGAGATTTAAGAGTATTGAAGAGCAACTTTCTCACCAGAAGGAATTAATGGAATCTCAATTTTTTGGTCAAGAAAAACAATATGAAGACATTCGGTTGTCACTATGCAGCATTTCTGCGACCTTGGGTTTTACTGATAATAAACAAAAACTGTGGAGCAAGGAGGTTCAGCCAAATATCCTCGATCTCTCTGAACCCGACCTTGAAAGTTTGGATTCAATTTATCATACCAAAACAGAAATACTTACTGAAAAAGAGGAAAATACAAATGAACTACAGAGAGAGGATATGGCGGACGGGAATGACAAGGAAACGTCTGTGCTTGGTGAGACGAGGAAGTTGTCCAAACAAAATGTACATGGCAAATCAGAGCAGGAAATCAACAGTGTCGTTGACGGAAATTACCCTAAAGCAGTGGATATGAAAGGTACCTCGTTTGGAAACAAAGGTGAAGATCGACAGCCTGGACATTCGTCACCACACACCAAACAGAACTCAGGTCCGTCCCAGAAAGGTCGATTACCAACTGAGAGAAGTCAATACAATGATGGGAGCTTTGTCAGTAAGGTACCAAGCAGGACCAATGGGTTAAGAAGGCAGTACACTGACGAGGTGAAGGGCGGAAATGTATACCCTAGTGGTAACTACAGAAGCAGGCAATACGTAAATACATACGACAATATCCACCCCACACCTCAAGAAAGGAATCAAACGGCGTATGGGCCTGTTGTCGGTAGGCGGAACCAGTTGAAACCACATTACACACAGTCCCAGAGAGGAGAAACGCCAGCATCACCTCGACTTCGAGAAATGTTTTTTGGAAACGGTACTACGTCATCAGAGTACGATCCCTTCCCCGATATACAAACAGAGGATCTCAATTTTGATATGATCAAGAGTACACAATGCATTGTATCGGCTCAAGAAAGGTAAATTGTGCTTCTAACGTTAGTGTGGCTGTTATTGGGGGCTATGTCGTTAATTTCATTACTTAATCATAAAATGTAAATAATATGGAATTGAAGCGGTAATCATCATGACGCGTTCCTGCTTGAGTTACATGAGGTAAGGCGAGGTAGAACAGGTTTTAACACGTGGGTGGGTGTGTTTGTACGTGTGTATATGGAGTATGACACTGTGTAGTAGATGACTTCTCTTTATACCACAAATTCACTATAACACGAAATGAGATTACAGCAGGTATTTGGTTGCTGTGAACATGTTAATTCAAGTACGTGGAGCCTACGTGATAAATGTTTTGATATTAAAACAGCAACTATGGCGACCCAAGAAAGGAGAACATCAACGGAGACGAAGAAAGGGAAAAACACTATCGTCTGATGTTAGAATGTATCATTGGTGATAGTCCCTACTGGAGCAGAATATGGGCGAGTGTGCAGGAAGCACTACTCGAAGGTATTGCCATTCGTATCATTTACAAGAATATATGAATACACATGAATAATTTGTCTGACCATATCTTAATGCAATTAGTAGAATTGACAGTATTTGGATTGGTAAGGAATTTAGATGTCTAACAATTTGACAACAATAATTGCTATCCTAGCTTGTGAGGTACGAGGCATAAACAACTAACGATGAACAGTATTGTGTTTGTAGATGAGAGTCCTGTTCCACGATATGGTCTGGCCCTGGATACAGTCATATGTATGGATACATCCAGCAGCATGTGGGGCGATCCTTTCAATGAAATGAAGAAAATCGCCCTTGATTTTATCAACGGTAATGTTGATACCAGTGGCTTACTATACCTTCGCGTTTTTCAAACGGAGAATTGTTGTCTGATGCTGTTCGATATATAATAACTATTATATTTTCATAGGAATCGAGGACATTGCAGAGCGACATGATCTTGAAGAAAATATTGCCCTCGTTACCTTTGGAGGACGGGCCAAGGTAGTTCACCACTTATCCAACGACTATGGGAGTCTTAGAGATGCACTAGGTAGGAATATTTTAATGTGAGTGAACATTTAACCGTTTCCTTTCTACATAACCGTTCCCTTTGAATAATTTCTTAAAAATGAAAATGACGTCTCAAACTGGTTCTATAATTATCTTCTTCCTCATTGTGAACGTTGCCTAGAAACACCCAGGTCAAATAGTTGCCACTGTAATGATGCTGGGTATTTAATATTTTGCTAAATAGTGACCACCATAATAATGTATTATGTATTTGGTTAAATAGTGACAACCATAATAATGTATTATGCGTTTTGTTCAATAGTGACCACCATAATAATGTAATATGCGTTTTGTTCAATAGTGACCACCATAATAATGTAATATGTGTTTTGTTAAATAGTGACCACTATAATAATGTAATATGTGTTTTGTTCAATAGTGACCACCATAATAATGTAATATGCGTTTTGTTCAATAGTGACCACCATAATAATGTAATATGCGTTTTGTTCAATAGTGACCACCATAATAATGTAATATGTGTTTTGTTCAATAGTGACCACCATAATAATGTAATATGTGTTTTGTTAAATAGTGACCACTACAATAATGTATTATGTATTTGGTTAAATAGTGACCACTATGATAATGTATTATGTATTTGGTTAAATAGTGACCACTCTTAATAATGTATTATGTGTTTTGCTCAATAGTGAAATTAGTGACCACTACAGTAATGTATACTATAATAATGTATTATATATTTTGTGAAACATTGAAAATGGTGACCACTATAATAATGTATAATATATATTCTGTGAAACATTGAAAAGGTGACCACTATAATAATGTATTATATATTTTATGAAACATTGAAAATGGTGACCACTATAATAATGTATTATATATTTTGTTAAAGAAAACATCACACCCGGGGGCCCCTCCCCAATCATGGAAGGCGTTCTTGTCTCACTGGCGTGTCTGGCGAAAGGTAGTCATTGGTCTGCCTCATCTATACATGTATGCTGACCTGGCACTGCTAGACTGGAGCTATATGCTTGTTGTCAACTTGAACAGCATCTAGACCATCAGTTTTTATTCAGTCTATACGTATTTGTATTCCATGTAATTTCCTTAAAGTTAATTCATGCTTATCCGTCAAAATAACTGACAAACAATTCTGATGAAACATGTATACATTGTGATTTATTGTTTGTCATTTTGTGTTGTCTAAAGGCGGTGTCTTCAAGATCAGGAACAGTCTGCAACTTCGGCCACGACTTATATTCATAACGGATGGTCTACCAACAAGAGAGATGCCTGAGACTTCAGCGGATGGTATCTGTACAGAGGTTGAGGTGTGTCGATACATGTTGTTTGAGGAAATGGACTAACTAATTGCTCACAAAATTGTTCTATTTGTTCGTGCATTAACTTTCTCAGTAAAATCTGTAACAATTTCTTTTTTGTCGTAGGATAGAGGTCGAATCTCAAGAGCATTTGCGGAGGTTAGAAGCAGACAGCACGAAGATTATCTTCCTGACGAAATCGTTTTTGTTCCTGTTGGAGCCTTTTGCAACATGGTATTTTACCTTCAAATATCCGCATTAATTAGAGCAGATATCTGGTATATGACCATAGTCGGGGGCGCGGTGGGCGAGCTGGCTAAGACGCCAGGCTGGTGATCCAGCAAGGTTGAGGTGCCGGGATCGAGCCCACCTGTGACCGGGTGTAAAAACCTTGGAGTCAACTTTGTGTGCAGACTCTTTCTGTGTTGTCACAACCCCTAGTGTACAGTACACAACCCTGTGCACTTAAAAGAACCCACGAATCCGTTGGTATATGACCAGATGGTGGCCACATGAATACGTGCAAACACCTAGTTGCGGGTACAGCAACGTGCAGTGAACTTGGACAAAGTACTGTGACTATGTGTCCCAGTCCACCCAGCTGTGAATGGGTACCTCGTTAGGATGAGAAAGCCATAATAACTCGATGCGCCTAGTGGCTGCAGGAGTTGTATACTCCCGAGGGAGTTGAGATTGATAATACGATGTGCCGTTGAGATTGACATCAATTGATCGAGGGAAAAATACCAGCGCCTTGAGCATGCACTAGTTGCCCGGATATGTGCGCTATATAAATATCCTATAATAAAAAAAACATCAGTACATAATAAAACGATGTACTATATATTTATACATATAGTATATATATATATATATATATATATATATATATATATATATATATATACACGCGTGTACGTGTTTATGCTCGCCCGAAAACATGCATATGGGGAACAAGTTATAAAATATTATGTATTACAACGTATATATTTGGCAGAGTTGTCTCCAGGCCCTTGCGTCATTCTGTTATGGAAAAGTGGCAGACGCGACATCACTGGCGAGGTTGCCAAAATACCAATTTCTGCACGTAGGTATTTATGAAAGGTTTATGGAATATATACAGCTCGATGATGACACAATTGTCTATATACGTTGCAATAACAGTATCTAACACATGATACAATGAACTTCCCATTACATGGCATTATGCTTTTAAAGCGGCTGTATTGTATAATGCATTGATATTATGTGCACAAATAATGACATATGCTTTATTTCTACATTGTTTGCAACACGTCCATCCAAGACTGTCAGTTTTATAAGAAATGGGGAGATTTAGTGAACTAAAATTGTTTTAAGTAATTGTTTTTATTTCAGAAAAGTGCGATTCATGTAATTGATTACATACGAGACAACGATCAAACCTCGGCAACGTTCCGTGCAGGATTACATGAGGTGTTTCTGGAACTGGAACCTAGTCTCGACCAGTCGGACAGGGTTGGTGTTCTGCTGTGTCCTCATACATGATGTAAACCTATAGAGCAGATCCTGTTTCGGTACTACTTTACTATTCTAGGACAATCAAGTATTTTATTCAATGAACCCAAGTTAGAAAGTAAATTACATATATTAGGGACACATAGGTACATTGGAATTTGTTCTAGGGATGGGTCTCTACAACAGGGATAGGTCACTTTAGGACTTGCTTTCTTTTGCCATTTGTACTAATTAACGTGTGCCTCGTCATGCTGACAACGCACACAGTGACTTGGTTCGGTCCTCTACAACAGGGATAGCGCAACTTCGGCTTTGTTTAACAGTACTTCAGCCAGTGTATTGTATCAGTCGGAATTTTACAAGTGTATTGTATGAATGAAATGAATGAATGAATGAATGAATGAATTAAGAGCAAGAATTTTATGTGAATGAATGAAAGAAATTAAGAAAAAGAACAAAAGAAAAAGAACATATGTGAATGAATGAAAGAATAAATGATACACCACGGCCATCCCTCCCCAAACATGTTAAAGAACGCAAAACTATCGGTAGAACACAAATGTTAACATCAGCTGTCCTTTTTCAAAAAAAAATTACTTTGAGACATGTTTTTACATTAGTAACTAATTCAGATATCTTATTGCATGTGTGGAATGACATGGGCATTGACAGAATGTTAACTGACACTGTCACAGACCCCTCAAGAACAGAAAGTTTAGAACTATCACAAAGCGTTGTAAACACCTTTCCAGTTTTGTCAAATACTAAGATCAACAAGAAAGAAAGAAGTTTTAGAACTATAACACTCAAGCATCACAAGCACCAATGGCGATATGTCATATTTTCACACACCTCAAATACACACTAAACAAAAAAAAAAAAAGTATCAATGTTACTTGCAAAAACCTTTCACCTGATGGTATATTCCCCTCATAAAAATTGAAGGTGTATGTGAAAGATGTTTTAGAACAATAACTAGAAACACTCAAACAACGCCCTGTATTATTTCAATGGCAGATCGGCGATATGTCATATTTTTCACACACCCCAAATACACACTAACAATTTTTTTTAAATTATAAAACTATCACTATTACTTGCAAACACCTTTCACGTGATGGTATATTCCCCTCATAAAAATTAAAGGTATATGTGAAAGATGTTTTGAACACTAACTAGAAACACTCAAACAACGCCCTGTAGTATTTCAATGGCAGATCGGCGATATGTCATATTTTTCACACACCTCAAATACACACTAACAATTTTTTTTAAATTATAAAACTATTACTTTTACTTGCAAAAACCTTTCACCTGATGGTATATTCCCCTCATAAAAATTGAAGGTGTATGTGAAAGATGTTTTTGAACACTAACTAGAAACACTCAAACAACGCCCTGTAGTATTTCAATGGCAGATCGGCGATATGTCATATTTTTCACACACCTCAAATACACACTAACAATTTTTTAAATTATAAAACTATCACTATTACTTGCAAACACCTTTCACCTGATGGTATATTCCCCTCATAAAAATTGAAGGTGTATGTGAAAGATGTTTTTGAACACTAACTAGAAACACTCAAACAACGCCCTGTAGTATTAACAATGTTTTTAAAATTATAAAACTATCACTATTACTTGCAAACACCTTTCACCTGATGGTATATTCCCCTCATAAAAATTGAAGGTGTATGTGAAAGATGTTTTTGAACACTAACTAGAAACACTCAAACAACGCCCTGTAGTATTTCAATGGCAGATCGGCGATATGTCATATTTTTCACACACCTCAAATACACACTAACAATTTTTTTTAAATTATAAAACTATCACTATTACTTGCAAACACCTTTCACCTGATGGTATATTCCCCTCATAAAAATTGAAGGTGTATGTGAAAGATGTTTTTGAACACTAACTAGAAACACTCAAACAACGCCCTGTAGTATTTCAATGGCAGATCGGCGATATGTCATATTTTTCATACACCTCAAATACACCCTAGCAAATTTTTTTTAGTTATAAAACTATCACTATTACTTGCAAACACCTTTCAACTAAAGGTATATTTCCCTTCTAAAAATTAAACGAATATGTGAAAGAAGTTTTTAGCGATATAATTTAGTCTTTCTTCGCTGTGTACTGAGAATTGAAGCCAGTGAGCTACAACATGCCCACTTGAAACTTTACTACAAAGCTACTGTACTTATACTGACACTAATAACAATTATTTGACTTGAAATGAAGTGACAGAATAGGTAACTTATCTTCTACATGTAGGTTTTCAGTTGTCAGCGTTGTAATCAACACTTAAAAACTACGCTGCCGCCATATTGGCTACACTGTCACGTGATCAGCTGCTTAGAAAATATAGAGTCTCCTGGTCTGCTACAATCTTAAAATATTCTACAACTCTAATATATAGAATGCACGTATGTGCAACTTCGTTGAAATTCTGTGTAATCACTCCGGTGTAGCAAATTTATATAATACTAACACTGAAGCAAAGTTACGTTTGCCGCTTTGTGTTAACATGGCCTGATTGGTTCGAGTCGACATTGTAGGTCAAGTGTTCTCACTACTCGTTACAGGATCTTGCTCCGACTCCTGGTTCAAATGCCCATTCAGCTCATAAAATCCAGCCCGACACTTGTGCCTGGTTGTATTCATATAGTCACGGGTGTCATGTTTTTTTAAGCATACGTATGGAAATTTAGCTGAATGATCATATCTGCCGTGAACATAAATCCCCCTCCATACACACACGCACGTTTACAATTCATGCACTTCTATTTTAGCGGGATCTGCACAGCCTACTTGCTCCTAAGGTTGACTCCATGATCAACCATGGCTCAATCTACAACTTCCAAAATGTACATGAGGACCCGGAACTGCCTCCCCTCGGCTCCAGAGTTGTCCGAGGCCCAGACTGGCTGTGGGGTAATCAAGACACTGAGGCGCCAGGGACAATATTCAACCATGCACTCGACAGTAAGAACAGGTCCATGACCATGAGGCAAACGATCTTTGAGGTTAATTTAGAAGTACAAGTTGCCACATGACACAGGAACATTAACGTGATGACCCGTTGGCCATGGTAGTGATCAAATGGCAACTTATATTTCTAAATGAATTTTACCTTTAAAAATTACCCATTATTGGTAATAGATGTCGGTTACACCCAGGAGGTTACAAGAATGACATATTTATCATTAGAATGTATTTGAATTTGATTGTTGTATTAAACGATGAAGAAATATGCAGTGTATAATGCTTCACAACGTTTGTTCTCAGACATTGTGTGGGTGATCTGGGACAACGGCCACTCGAACGTGTACAGGTATGGACAGAAGGACAAGTACGATGTCATCACAGTGGAGGACCAGCCTCGAGACATCGACGACTACTCGATTGCTGTCGGTGTTCAGGTTGAAAGAGGTGAAGAACAATGCGATCTAAACCTCGGACATTTTCTAGCTTTTGACGCCTGTCCTATAAGTTATCACAACAACTATTTATAATGTCATGACACTCGACATCAACCACGTTCATTCTATAAACTCACATACCCTTTATGTATATATTCTCCTTCTCCATAGTGTTGTGTATCACTTGCTTGATAACGGTGTTAGCATTTACACCGAAACGCCGCATCCATTGCAATAAAAAGGTGTCTATCCATCAAGATACCAGATTGTAAATGCCATTCAAAGAAGTGTATGCGTTATTACTTAGTACCTCTCCTGAAATTCAGTAATAAAAAAGGATAAATGATAAATGTACACGTATTCTTTATTGTACTAGGAAACCTAAACGTGAATACGCAAGGAACGGTTTTGCATATAACATCAACATGCTGCATTGTTCCTGACAGGTGCGGACTGGCATTTTCTGTATGGGAATCAGGATGGTGGTCCTGGAAACTACGGCACCGTCATTCGAATTACGACGGGGAAGGTCAAGGTAGGAATAAACAGACTGTTACGAAGTATACGGTAATTATTCACACCTTGCATCATGGACAAAGTTTATACTGCAATTGCTTCAGTGAACATTGTCATACTCTGATTTGAGTATAATATTAATTCTTTCAGATTTGTAACTGATGTGTTGGCTCTTGCATTGGATTAAAAAAATCAATAGGCTCAAAATAAACACTCTCAACGTCGGGATTTCATGTTAGTACACCGTTTGATTTGCTGATGCCAAAACAAATTATCATTCTTCTTGAGAGACAATTTATACATATGTATGGTGCACTTAAATCAAGATTGTATGCATCGAAATAAACAAGTTAAAGTATATGCAATGATAATTGTTGTAAAGGTTCGGTGGCAGAAAGGTGGAATGTACACATACAGATACGGCGTCGGTGGACTGTTTGACTTATCTATTCGGTGGGTAATACTGTTTACTGAACAATAAAGTTGTAAAATGTAATGATTCTATACTTATAGTAGCAACTTGTCATGCGATGATAAAAGGAATAGCAGTAACTGAGACATTAATTTACTTGTTTTCATGTGTATCATTGAGAAATGATGCAGTCCGTCTCTTTTAGTGACCCTGTTGCCTCCATCCTTGAAACAACTGCAAAATCAGATGAAGGTTCAAGCCGTATTTCAGGTAAAAACATGACGTGTGAACTTGATCATAAACGTGTGCCAGTGTCATTCGAGATATTGTGTATTGATGAGGATGAATTTTCACAACGATTATCTACTCGAGTTATGTGACACTTCTGTTGTCAGTTTTTTCGACGTTTCACAGGTTCATCTTGTCCTTTCATGAAGAATCGTTAAAAAAATAGACTTTTCAATAAAAGCATTTATTTAATGATCAAGTTTGGGACAGCCATAATCTTCCATTTTCTAAATCACTATCAAAGAAATTCGTATGTTAGTAAATGTTTATATGTACGTTCTGGTGATCATAACGTGGAGTGAGTTTGTATTCACGAAGAAGTCAATATATGCATATATGTATATGAAGGAGATATAATCAAGGACATATCTTACAGTGGGGCCAGGACATGGCCAGAGGCTGCAAGAGTCTGAAAACAGGCCGTACGTTTGGCAGAGGCGGGACAACCAGGAAGGCTGGGAATCATACACAGAAATCAATGATGCTAAACTGAAGAAGGAATATGGGAAAAATCGCGAAAGGCTCATGCTTAATTCAGAGAAAAGGGGAGAGGTAGGTGGAGTGCCTATGTTTAGTATTGGCATCAAATGCTAATGGTCACAACAGTGAAACGTGTTTTAGATGAATTAGTAAGATGAGAAGGTAAATATAAGCATTTGTGTTCATAAAGTATACCAACGAACGACTGTGTGAAAGAATAACGTTTGTTTCTTATCTAGTTTCAGGGTATCATTCAAATCCCTGCAAGAGCGCTCTGTAACTGACAAAACCTGGGTTCCTGTGCGAAAATGTTTTCAATAGATCTGTAAGTATAATTCAGAGCACAGAGTAGAAGCTCCGTACGTCGTCTATTATATACTGAGGATAAGATTATGTTTTGTGTCGTTTATATTCTTCTTCTTTTCCTTGTTCCTGTTGTTGTTGATTTTGTTTCATAAACTGGGATTAAAAGTAAGCGACGAGGGAATATATTGTCATCTTCTTAGTTTCACAAAGAACATGTTGTTTATAACACTGTATATGCTTTCTTACTTTCCATAGATCTAGTCATCATTGAAGTGTGAAGATTTGATAATTAACAACACTACAGGGTTTGTGGGATCTGCACGTGATGTCTTCACATTTCCACAAAGTTTACAAACGATTTATAAAATATAGCGATAGTGTTTATCTATACTTATACTATTTAGCATATTTTAATGCTCTGCCATAGAGTAGATCGTTTTGACTATATCTACATGGCCATCTTAGTACACAATATCACAGTTTCTAAGATGCCTAGCGGTTAGAACAATCGGCAAAAAAATACATTATGAGACAATAAATTAAAGGTATTGTTTTTTTATGACGTAACAATTGAATGACGTTATCCCGTCACTGCGCCATTCTACTGTGCTCCCTCGTGATCGAACCATTTTACATTACGTCACAATGTAAGCGACGTCAAACTGTTATCATTTGTTTTTTCTGTTAACCGTCGTCTTAGTGAGTGAGTGAGTTATTATTTAACGTCACATCGGCAAACCGTCGTCTTAACGTAGGGGGGCAGACACATCAATAAACCAGCGCGCTAGTAAGCCCTGTGCGAGGATTCTTAATTTAGGTCACTGACACCGTCGTTTGTTTTCTGCCTTAAATTAATCGTAATCATCCTCAGAGAGTATTAAATTTGGCATCCTAAAAAAGAAATACAGTTCGCTCTACCACCATGTATAGTGTAATAAAGCACACTTTCGCCCTGAACTATTATAACGTTAAAGCACTTTGACGCAAGCGTCCTCGTACTTTAACTATACTGTATATAATAGTTCAGGGCGAAAGTGTGTTTTATTACACTATACATGGTGGTAGAGCGAACTGTATTTCTTAAGTAGATACATTATAGTCAGTAGATTCATGCGTAATATTTGGGCTATGTTATATATATAGAAAGAAAGACAGACAGACGGTATAATTTTATCAAAATGTTTCAAGTCACTGAATGAGGTAACTTTTGACGGAAATGTCAGCTGTAACCGCCAGGAGTGTTTTTATTGTTCTCTTTGTGGGGGATACAGTAGTTATTAAATATGTGTCCTTCTGTAAGTCTGTTTGAAATCCCATTTCTGGTGTTCCCTGTCCTGATATTGCTGGAATATTGCTAAAGACGGCATGAAACCAAACTCACTTACCCACTCACTCTTTGAAATGGCCTGTGTTGTCTTAGTATAGGTCTGTTTTCTTCATTTCTATCGTGAAGTAGATTTCATCTTTGTTCTTATTTCGTACTTTTCACATAGCAATTTAAGTGAAACTTTTGTTCATCAGAAATGTGATATAATGAATTTGATGTATTTTTTTTATTGAACCTGCTAATGATTTCTTCCTGTATTTGGAGTAAACAACAAATAATAAGTGAGGTCTTGCCCTTAGACATTCGGTTAAACTTTAGAACGTATTGCTATAAAGCTCCTGATTTTGTTAACCAAGATATATGATGTCCAACGTAAATAGTTGTACGGCTGTACAATCAACACCAATTTACATACATGCGTGGAAAAATCATTGATGGATATGAAATCAACTTAGGTTATAATACACATTCCTGTTTGACTCCGCTTTACAGTACTGTACAGGAAACACAGATTATATTGTGCCTACTTTCCTCAACTTAACCACGGACAGTCATTTTCTGTATTATTAAGTCACTGCTTGCTGTCAGTTTAGGTTCTAATAATAGTACATAGTCTTGTGTTTGAAGCAATACCCACTCTTGCTGTTGTTCAATCCCCTTTAGAGTCGAGTCACAATGAGATTCGGGGAAATGACATAGTGACTTCTAATGCATTCGACTGATACCGTTTTATATAAAGTGTACTCACATAATTGAATAACCTTGAAGACATTTCCGATTAGGATATTTTCCCTTAAATTATATAATGTATTCCTATTTCAGTTCCATTAAGAAATTCCTAGGAGGATTTGGCAATGTGAGGGGAAAAAAATCAATTTGGATAAAGTAATGACTTTATAATTGCAATTTTCTCCAAAGGTGTTATTATGCCATTAACCCATCTGTTAATTATCTTTTGGGTTTCTAACAACTTACCTTTACAATTGAAATTAACCATCTTGTCCAAAGAAGTAGAAAATGTAATTCCGATAATTCTGAAAATATCTGAATGCCACACTAATTTTAGACTTGGCATATATCTATCATTGCTATTTCTTTTTGAACCAACCCAAAGAACTTGTGACATGTCAAAATTAATCTTTAAACCTGAAATATCAGCAAATAAATTAAGCATATCAATTGTGGCTTAAAATGATCTTGTACTTCCGTCTAACATAAATTCAGTATCATCTGCATATTGAGAAAGAGTGTAAGTGATTTGGTCAATGGTTATTCCAGTTATATCTTTATTGTTTCTAACTACAATTGGCAAGTACTTCAGCACATAGCATCAAAATGTATGGCGAGAGAGGATCACCTTGTCTACAACCCCGATGAACAGGAATCTGATATGACATATTTCCATTTATTAACCAATTTGAATGAATATCGTTATAAAAAGTTGAAACCCATTTCCTCATTATATTTACCAAAGCCAAAGAGTGTCAAAGTTTTGTTAATGAATGACCAGGAAATGGATTCAAAACCTTTTTCAAAATGAACTAACAAAAGCATTCCTGGCATGTTACGAGTATATTTATCATAAACCTTTCAAGGCTACACAAGACACGAAATTACGATGGTTTCAATACAGACTGCTGCACAGAATAATTGCAACCGATGTATATTTATTTAAAATTGGTAAGGCCGAGAATACTCTGTGCAGTTTCTGTATATCTGAACAAGAAAGTATTTTGCATATATTTTGGGAGTGACATGAAGTGAAGGTTTTTTGGAATAAGTTACTTCTTTGGATAACTAATAGCTGTGACCATAGCTGTGAGTTTAAGTGCAGAACTCATTTTATTTGGTATAAAGGAAAATGTAATAACTGATAGGGCTTTTGACAAGATTTTAATTCTTTCAAAGTTGTATATTTATAAATGTAAATTAGAAAAGGTAAACCTATATCTCAAGAATTTCCTATATGAATTAAAAAATACACATACAATAGAAAAACAAATCTTCACAGATAAATGTGAACAAAATAAATTGTATTCGCAGTGGATGTCCTGCCACTCACTGTTTCAAGACTCCACTTAACTGATTTCAGAATACTGAATCTTCTTTTCCTGATTTCAGAATACTGAATCTTCCAGCCATGTCCATCCTTTATAATGTTATATTATGATGGTTGGTATATTCACCATATTTCTTGGTCAGGTGTGAATGAAAGTTGTGAAAAAATACTATCTTAGGTTTGCTCCATATGCACCTGTGTATTCACACTTGCAGCTTATCACTATTCATGTGGATCTTTTGTATTGTGTGTATATACTGTGTGTTCTTTCGGTATGCATTTGTGTGTGACAGTTTTATCTTGTTAAAATTCTGAATCCTTCATCATGTTTTTCTTACTCTCAAAGAGGGCAAGGAATTCCTGGTTCCTTCGTTCCTACCCGTAACAGGGTTCTGTAATAAAATATCAATTACAAACAAAAAATATTCCTATTTCCAAAGTAGAGACAACTCCCCCATGTTATACCATTTCAAAGATATTTACATAATACTCAAAGATGTCATTTCTGTTTTGTTAATGGAAAATCCAAACCAAAGAAATTAGATATTTCAAAGAGATATCCGTAAAGTATATATAATTTTACTTTGCGGATATCTTTTTATGCCCCTCAACGCGTTTTGCGGGGGACATTAAAATGCACTCCGTCCGTGAGTCCGTGCACATTTGTCTTTTCCGGAGCAAAACGTTTAAACCGTTCAATATTTCATTCACTAAACGTGGCACATAGATAGGTCTAGTGTTGTAATGGTGCCTTTTGGTAGTTTTGGATTTTTGACTATTATATTTTTGCGTTTCCATGGCAACAAGTTTGACTTTGACTGAAATTGGAGTTGGTGCTCTTTTCCGGAGTAGAACCTTAAAACCGTTCAATATTTATTTACCACACTTCTCACATAGATAGGTCTGGTGGTGAACTGGTGCCTTTTGATAGTTTTGGATTTGTTAATAAAATATTTTTTGAAAGGCTATGGCAACACTTTTGACTTTAACTGAAATTGGTGGTTGTGCTCTTTTCCGGAGCAGAGCTTTAAAACCGATCAATATTTCTTCACCAGACTTTCCACATAGATAGGCTTGGTGGTGAACTGGTGCCTTTTGATAGTTTTGGAATTCTGAATACAAAATGTTTTGTTTCCATGGCAACAAGTTTGACTTCAACTGAATTTGGTGGTAGTGCTCTTTTCCGGAGCAGAACTTTAAAACTGTTCACTATTTCTTCACCCAACATGGCACATAGATAGGCCTGGTGGTGTACTGGTGCCTTTTGATAGTTATGGTATTCTGAATTATATATTTTTGGCATTTCCATGGCAACAGGTTTGACTTAGACTGAAACTGATGGTAGTGCTCTTTTCTGGAGCAGAACTTTAAAAACCTTTCAATACTCTCCTTCCACTTTTCTATATACTCACCAAAACATTTGACATGATCATAACTCGTAGACATATTCATGAAGAGTATTCTGCCATTGCGGGGGATATTGATGACTTTGTCTTCTTGTTGAAATATATATTTTAAAAATATTTTAAAGATATTTACATAATCCTAAAAGACGTGATTTATGTTTTGCTAATGGAAACACAATATACAAAATAAATATTTCAAAGAGATATCAGTAAAGTAAAATTTAAGTACTTCACACTTCCTATGACCACTACATGTGTTGATAAGATAGTCAAACTGCATATTTCATGTATTACCATCTTGTTCCAAATATGCCATCGGCTGGTTCGCACATGTTCGCGAGAAAATGGGCATAGTGTAGAATATTTCCTGTGAATAACTTGGTTTATGTGAAAAGATGAAGAATTTAAATTTCGTGTAGTGTTTACACTGCTGATCTTATATATGTATGTGCACTGTGGATGTTTCTATTTGTGCGTGACAACGCTGTGGTGCTGTAACCATGTTACCACAATAAATGAAATACGTTTCTTCATAAATGTGTTCTTATTATTTTGAGTGTATCACAAGATGTACACGATGATGTTTTAAGTCCCCATTCATGTCGGAAGATACAGGTTTATGAATATTAGCGTCTTCAACCAACTGTTACATGAACAGTTATCATAAAAGTTTTCTCTTAATTATACGATGCCAAAGTTGTGCGTTACGTTTCGAAATCCAGGCGTTTCATTTCACACAGCCATATGGCTGAACGGTTGCACCAACACATATACCTGCTAAATATGCATTACGAAGGCAGCTACCAAATGCAACAGTTAAGCACCGCACTCGCCCATGTTTTGGATATCTACTCATGTCAAATCATCGCAATATCTGTCAAATAGATAGCTACATTGGGTCTATGGACCAATCATTTCTCTACAAAGTTTTCAACATTCGATAGAAAGTAAATATGAATATGACATAGGTACATATGGATATGACAGCACACACAGACAGACTGGAAAAGATGGCATTCCCAACAAGTACAATCCAAGAGAACTGGTAATATCAATCTAGCAGCAAAGAATATCATCATTAAAACAGAACAAATGCCTCATTAAAACATTTGCATTACAATGTTCATGCTAATGGTGTTTCTGCCTTTATTGTCCCATAGACAGGACATGTCTCAAATAGTGTAATTTAAACACGTGTTTTACATCAAAGGACTGGGCATAAACTTTCACATTGTAGATACACCCCTCCATAGATGTACATTGATACCTATCAACAGTTAATGCTTCCGCGGCAATGAGAAATATACCTATACTACGCTTGCTCATTCAAACCTTTCGTTTTCGTCATAGGCGTATGCAGATCCTAAAAACATTAATACGATGTCGCAAACATTATGACTTACATTGTTAACTAGCATCAACTCAAAATATCTTAAACATCTTCAAGATGAATACATGACCTGTTTTTATGGATAACAACTTTTTCTTCTTTAAACGAACGTTCAGAGCTATTCCTTGCACCTTCATCAGGTGAAATGTTCGTCCAACTTCTAAATGCAACTCAAGAACTTCATCTTTAAGATGTTATTAATCAAGCGAGAGTGTGAATTCCTCCTATCTATCTTTTAAGAAGAAACATCTAGTTCTAAAAATGTTTTCACTCGAGGTGCTACATGGCAGTGTGATGCCTCGCAGGTGTGGGAAATACGATGTAAACAAATGCGACAGATCTATGTTGTGAAGATTCCAGCAAGGTCGGACGAATTGCCTCCCTTCCACATTGCATTTCTACGTGTTGTATTTCAAACCCAAGTCACTGCAAAAGCGACTGATAAAGGAAGTTGAATCAATAACACGACACTTATGTCACGATGACCTAATGGTTGACTTAGCTAAGCAGAATCGACTGGTTTATTCAAAGCAATCAGTGGGTTTTCCTGCATGACCTATATATAGACCGTTGGTAATTTTTCCGTCATCTCAGGAGGAGTGACATATTTTACACCGCAGTATTTGACAGTATTTGCCGGCCACACAAGGAGCGTCATCAAGTGGTTATGAATAGTTTGCTTTGCAGCAGGTAGGAAAAAGTGTTGAAATATGTCAGTAGATATTATTTTTGCTGAAGAATTGTCTGGTCATTGTGTAATCGTATATGTAATCGTGTCTGTAGTTTTGAAATGAATATGGCTTTCCAAGTTGACGTAATGTCCTCAAAGACACAAACAGCGTGAACCTTTCAGCTTAGTCGTGTAAAGTGTAAACTAGGTTCTTATTCTACATAACAGGTTATACATATTATTGATGGTCACCGTCGTAAGCAATCCCGCTTCAGCCGGAAGATTGAAAAGACAGAGTGAACTAAGGTTCGACAGAATCTGCAAAAATCGATAATGATGAGATATATGTTATCCTTAAATATGGGTATGAAATTGTTACATTTCCAAGTTGAGTTTGATAAGCCATGATGGTGTTTTGTCTTTGACAATATATATACTAGGCACATAAAGAAACTGTGCATTGTCAATATATTATCCCAGTTGATAAGTACGATAACAATGTCAAAGGTACATATAAACTTTAATGGAGGGATCATGAGACCATAACAAGTCGGGAGAATTTCAATTGAAAAGTCAATCACAATGACGTCACGAGTCTACAAGCGGGACAGGGGTCTAACGACCATGTCACAAGCTCAATAACGGGTATGTCCACCATCGGCATTGAGAACAGCAGTGCATCGGCGACGCATAGAGCCTATCAAACGTGCAAGGAAGGCTTGCGGGATGTCACGCCAGATTCTCTCAAGTTCTATTGCAAGGTCAAGGACGTTATCTGGCGGATGAGGAAGACGACGTAGACGTCGATCCATCTCGTCCCAAACATGCTCTATCGGAGGAACCCGGTGAATTTGCAGGCCAAGGCAGTAAGTCAACGTTGTGGTGTTGCAAGAAATCCATAGCAACCCTTGTCGTATGAGGGCGGGCATTGTCCTGTTGGAATGTTAACCCAGGGCCATGACGTTGCAGAAAAGGAATTGCCACAGGTCGAAGAATCTGATATCTGTACCCCACACCAGTTAAGTTGCCCTGAACAATCACCAAAGGTGTTCTTTGGCGTGCTGCTATGCCACCCCAAATCATCACGGAACCACCACCACCACCAAAGCGATTCCTCTCCAAGGCACAGGCCGAGGCATAACGTTCTCCCACGCGTCTATAGGCACGTTGACGTCCATCACTATGGGAAATGTTAAACCTGGACTCATCTGTAAAAACAACATTTCTCCACCAAAACAAGGGTCTGCGGACATGATTTCGGCACCACATTCGGCGAGCTTGTCGATGACGTTTTGTCAGGATATGCCGTATGGCGGGACGTCGTGGTCTGATCCCGTGATGACGTAAACGTTGTCGAACTGTGTTGGGGTGGATACGGCGAAGTCCTGGGAAGGTTCGGGCAGTCATCACTGCAGTCTGAAACCTGTGGCGAAGATGGGTCACCCTTATCCATCTGTCCTGTCTTGGTGTTGTTACACGTGGACGTCCAGAACGTGACCGATCGATGACGTCATTAATTGGTGTTCTGGTAGTGCAGAAATGGTGTTCCGGTGGCAGTGGAAATGTGCAGCCACGTGTCGTTGAGACATTCCCCCACGGACCATCCCAATGGCCTCATGACGTTGTGCAGACGTGAGCCTTGGCATGCTATGCGTTTCAATAGCCGTTTAAGTTTTTGAGCGATCGCAAGGGCAGGGGTTGAGCTTTCCAAAGTGACAGTACTGTATGGCATTCATTTGCTCTGTTTCTCTTTCCCGGAATGCACGTGCAACAACGTGTTGCACGTCTCAAAGACGAACCCACTGACGTCACGGAACGTGGCACGTGCATGCATGTTGGATACATGTTACTAATCTCTGAGTTTAAATCCTTATGTGTCTACACAGGTTTGATAAATTTAGATTTTAAATTTTTGTATGCACAGTTTCTTTATGTGCCTAGTATATATGTACATGTTCCTTAACTGAAGTCATGAGTTTGAGTGTTTTAGACGTTCATTCCACGTTTGTTCCAAGTAACAAATACGTGTACAGGAATTCAGTTCTAATTATGGCATAATATCATAAATATTTATTCCAACTGTTTTTCATGGGAATATATAGGTGAATGTACTGAAGTTTATTTTAACCAGAACACTTTGTGTCTAATGTCTGGGCTACCGGCCGTCCGCCACGTGCGGTCTTTAACATGCAGAGTAACTGTCTATAATAGCGCCATGAATTTATACTCAACAGATACAACTGATACTGGAATTCCTCTCATATCAGATGCCATGACAGATACTCGCCGTACCAAAAACCACCCCGGTGGACCCCCTTACACTGTTGACAAAACAACACAAACTGATGGTTCTATTCGAGATGGGGGTGAAATACAGTTCCGAGAAATTCGCGGAAACTTTATTACACAAATAGGTTCCAACAACAAAGTTGTTGACATAACCGTAACCAAGGACTTCCTTCAAATGGCAAAGGAGGATGAGGAACATTTAGGTAGGAACACATGTGTACTATTTTAGAGATTACAGGTTGTGACACAAACATATATAAGCAGGATGCCGCAATACGGTAAATACAAAGTCCTTATTTCACAGAATCATATGGGATTATATGATAATATTGTCGAAGTAGAATCCGTGCCTTTATAATTATGGTTGTTGGCTTGTTTCTAACTACTGATAATGGCGTCCATCACGTCGACTTAACTTTTATTTTTCGTGTATTACACGTTTTGGTTGCTTTTGCTGCTTAAATCACAACACGTTTCCTCTTTTCGACAGTTTGTGATAAAAACGTCCCCGTTATCCTGCTGAAATGGCATGGAGCTGCTGTACATGAAGAAGACGCAGCCAAGACATTGACTTCAGCATGGACAATACGGCTGAAGGAAATGTTTAGGGACATGCGTGGGGAAATATTACAACACATTTCAAACTCTCTGTTTTCGCGTCTCAGGAAATTTATTGAGGACATTTTCATGAAGTATGCTTCCAGACTTACTTCAGTCTGCAGTGGGTCTCTGCTGTTCGTGTTCCAACATGCTGATGAGGAGTCTTCACAGAGAATGGTTGCAGACAAGGAGGTTGTGCGGGAGATGTTCCACCAGCTGCTGCTGGGGATGGGCAAGGGGGAAATAGAGTTCACGCTGGAGGTAGATATACGTACAGGTGACTGTATGGAGGTTGAAGCAGGTGGAAATGTAGGTGGTGGTGAAGACGTTGATGCTGATCCCCTCGCTCCAGGAATGGATCCACTGGTAAAGACACTACCGCCAAACGTGTGAGTACTAGTACGACATGAACATGAAAGTATCAGTTGATAGGCAAATTGTGTAAGTATCCATTTCTAATAGAAGACGATAAACAAATCAGTCTAATCGAAGTGTATTGTATATTGTATACACTGTATATTGAAAATAACCACAGTCAGTGACTGCCGTACAAAATGTTTTGTTTTCTTATGATACTCGATATCGTACTATTTCATGTGAAATCATTTGGAACAATCCACACGTCAGTCGTAATCGCCAGAAACTGTTGCTGTAAGGTTTGGTGTGGTTTCAAAGTAAAACGTTGTTCGGCTCATCCTCAGAGTTAGGTTTCCTGTAACAAATGACAATTCCCTGGGTTATATTGCCGTTTACTGTTTATAGCCCGCTAGACACCAACGCCGGGGCAGCGAAGAATGTAACAGGTGTGTACCGTCAATATAATGAGCGTGGTACGACGCACACACACATATCTAGTTTGAAATACACCGTATGTACACTCAAAGGCAAAAGGTATTGTAACACACAAACAACAAAGACGGGTTCACAAGCAAGTTGACACGGTGTGTGTGTGTGTGTGTGTGTGTGTGTGCGTGCGCGCGCGCTCCTTGTGCATTGATGCCAAACTGATCCTAAACATACACACATTCAAAGTTTTATATAGTGCTGATATCCCGCACCAAGTGCTGCTCACTAGCGCTTCAACCATTTGGGTCACTGGTTAGTTACTATATGCTAGTCTGTAACAGTGCGTCTTAATGTACACACCTGGGTCTGTGATCGAATGTAGGCTGCTCCACAGGTATGATCCGACCCCGGTCATTTTAAAAATAATCTGACTCCGAACGTCTTTGTGTAACTGGCACCTGTAAAAGCATCTGATGACTGAAGCGAACCGAAAGCTCTCCATGTGCACGTTGTTTTCACCGAAGCGTGGTATGGCGGACCTGTTCCAGAACGATGAATAGAGGAGTGAGGTGTTTTTTTCTGACTTCTGCACTGAGGTTGCGTTGAGTTTGAAGTTAAAAGCGTCTGGTTGTCTAGCCTTTTAAGGTGAACATTGCTGGTCATTCTACTTGAATATGTCATGTTTTTTGCTAATCTTGTGAAGTTCGAACATCAACTGCTAGGCTTCGTTTCTCAGGCCATGTAAACACAATTTTTCCCTGGTTCAAATACTTATATTCTTTTATAAGATTGCCAATAAACAACTTCCATGTCAAAAGACGTAATTTGTGTTTACTTTACTGTATGTGATTTTTTATGTTATTAATTTACTGCACCATTCTCCAAATTATAAATTTGCTTGTTGGCCTTTACAGTTTTATTGTACACCACAGGTATATTTAAATTACATCGAATACGACTCCTGACACACAAAACAACATATATGAGTATGCAACTTGAGTATGTGACTTATAATTGACAGATATGACAGAGGTCGAGCGTAGATTGCAATCTATGGAAAACGACTTTAGAATGATGCAGCGAGAGGTGAATGGACATATGGACAGCATTCGTGTTGATATGGGAAGAGGATTGAAGGAGATGAGAGAGGTTACACAGACCTTCTTGGAAACGGTGTTGACGAAGACACCAGCAAATCGACAGGACAAGGAACCAACACACTCTGAACATACACTGATCCCCGAGCCTCATGACATGCTTTCACTGACTGGAAAGGCGGGTTTCCCATTTATCTCAATGTCAGTAGAACAGTTCCAACAAACGGCATACCCGGTGTATATGGAGAAGGAAGTGGCACCCGACACTTCCCGGAACACTGAACCTACTGTCCCACCGACATCCATCGCTGACAACAATGAACCCACGAAAGCAGCAAGCTATGAAATGTGAGCATCCATCCTATGTGATAATAACGATACCCCGTACACATAAACAAATCAACAAAAACAGGCTTTCTTGGTACTACAAACTTGTCCACTGCTCGGCATAACTCTATGCGATTCATGGAATTTCTAATATATTACCTTTGGACGTAGAAACAAAGGAATTATGCTTCAAATTTCGCATTGATATGTCCACATTTACACTCGATGAGAGTGTCATTCTTTAAATAAATTTACAAAATAACTTCAACGAGTGTCCATTCACAAATTTCTTTAATTTCTAATGACTTCTTTTCTCCAGATCAGGCGAAGGAACAGATGAGCAGCAAATGTCAGGTCCAGCTACAATCGGCACAGCTGCGTCTTCTGAAGGTGCTGGGATTGAGGGGGATGTAGTTATCCCTCCATCAAGGTATTATGAACAGACGGAACCACTTGCGATATAGTTTTCATTCACTGACAGTCATGTTATCTCCTCATACTTGCATCCCCGTTTTAGCAACATTTTACAATCAACGCCCATGACCACATGTCAAAACTTTACGCATATAATGTCCAATGTTTCTACACATGTAATATATGCATACATGACATGCAGATGTCCAGCTTTCAGTAATGGTTTTCCCAAACTGTTGTCAGATCCGAACAAGACATCCCGTGTCAACCAAAAGGAGAAGTACCCGTAAAACGTGAGTTCTTTCCCACCTCAGCTTAATTCATCTTAATGTGTGTTCATCTCAATGTGTTGTCCTAACCTTCCTGCACACATATATTCTCCAGGGTGGTCAGTATGCAACTGTAAAATGTAATACTGTGAACAATATAGAAAATCATAATAACAAAAAATACTTATAGGGCTAACAATGTTTGATGCAGCTGTTCTCGCAGTTGGTCTTCGCACTCGTTACAACCAAAGAAATTTGTATCTGAGGATAATACAGATAGGGCACTGACAATCTGTATTTAACTCAAAATCTTGGGGTATTACATCTGCTTCAAATAACACCCAAGCATTTTAGAATTGTAGACTGCTGCTTCATTTGTAGAATATGGTAGTTTGATGTTTTTAATGATATCTTAATACATTCAACAGAAAAGTACGAAGAGGCTGAGCAGCTCTTGGACTCCCTTAATGTCGCTAATGTGGGAGACAGCTCATCTGACCCGGAAGTGAGACGTTTGACTGACGCTGTGGCTGCAGCTCTGGTTGAAGGTAGGCGGTTACATCAGAAGTGCGTTGTCACAGACTATAGATGATGCGCACATTATCTAGTGTATTCATTTCGGAACAATTGGGTACATTACACATAGACGTTTCCCTTGTCTCATTTACGGAGAAACACTCATGCCTTATTGTTACCTTTTCCATAACCACTGACACACTGGTTGTACATGTTTGCTGTCCTGTAAACAGGTGGAAAACCGAAACCTTTGTTTTAAGTTTGTTGTCCAGGTGATATCTGAGGCTGCCCCAACAGTCGTTCCTCAAACGAAGGATGTCTCATAAAACACTTTCCTTGTTCCTAGATGTTACTTATCTTGTATGCTGGTTGGTCGGTTTGTTGTTTAACGCCGCACTCAGCAATATTCCAGCTATATGTAAATAATCGAGTCTGGACCAGACAATCCAGTGATAAACATCATGCGCATCGTTCTACACACCTGGGATACCAGGTCTTGTGTCAACCAAGTCAGCGTGCCTGACCACTCGATCCCGTTAGTCGTCCTTTAAGACAGGCATGTGTTACTGAAGACCAATTCTAACCCGGATCTTCACGGGTTATCTGGTATGCTGATGCTATTAACCTTTCTGCAAGATACCTATGTGTGAAGTTGATTCATGTGACATACTGATGACATGCCGATGATACGTCTCTGTATACAGAATGCTAATTGTGAATGTTCCAGAAGTTACACCACCACCAAGGGCAATGGGCATGGACACTGTGTTATGTTTGGATGTGTCAGACAGCATTGGGCTGGAAGGCCTAGAGGAAGTCAAGCAGATTGCCAACAACTTTGTAGATGGTTTGTATAAATATTTGAGTCAAACCCTTTTCATTATTGTAATGATGGCTTTGTTTGTTTCAGACTTGTTAGTATGCGTGTCTTAGTCCAGTTCAAGTTGTGATGATACCAGATGATATACCGATAATACCTGTGCTGATTTATACGTTCTGAACCTCAGCTTTCTACATTTTGTGGTTCTTAATTGCTTACAATAAATGTCCCCAAAGTGCACCACAATATGCTGTTGTTTATTGTATGGCCCCAGACAGCTTCCATATCCAGGACCACGGATACCCTCTCGTTTCCAGTTCAAATGACAGTGTTTGCCTTCTTTGGAATGTTACGGTTTTTAACGTTATTACGACTTGAATTGTTGAATCGTGTTTTACGATTTCTGAATCAGTTTCAGACCAAGGTAACACAGACTAGATATGTAACACATCACTTATGAGCTACTTAATAACATTTTGTCTCAGGAATTGAGGATACAGCTGCTCAGCACGGAGTAGAGGAGAATGTAGGTGTGGTGTCACTGGGAGGAGGAGCCAAGGTTGTCCAGCAGCTCACCAACGACTACGGAGCTGTCCGAGATGCTATAGGTAACTGCTAAAACTGGATATTCGTTACATCGTTGATTTTATCACGCATGCAAGTCGTAAAAGTAAGACACTGCTCTGCAGTGCATATGCCATGTAACAGTTCTTCACTTCAAGAGAAGCATACTACATATTATGTACAACGTGTTAATACACGTGATGTCATCACTGCCTGAACAGTTAATCAATTCTTGTGGTATGCTTTTGCAACAGAAAGTCTGGTCTGTTATGGGAAAAGTCCGATATTCGAAGCTCTCCTGGTGTGTGTTGCGACAGTGAAAGAAGGAGGTACGATGTCCACGTTGTTCTAAATTTGTATCATTTTCCATTTTAATGTCGGTTTAACCAGATTATGAATTAAAATGAGACTATATCGATGTTAGTCATAGTCATAATGTCAGAGTTCACGTTTTGAAGTCATAAAGATACCTTTCCAAACAGCATCATATCAGGTCTCGTTATAGGAAAAGTAAACCAAATATAATGACTGTCACAGGGGGAGTACTAAGCGTTGGAAGAGTGCACAAGATCAGGCCAAGGATAATCTTTATCACAGACGGCTTGGCCACTGACGACACCCACCCAACAGGATCAGATACCCCCTCAACAGATCTCAGTGTACGTTCATTAACATTCTAGATCAGGCAACTCTGGCGATGCTGTGAGGTAGTTCCCTTGTAGTCAGCATTTTGTCAGAAGAAGACGTAAGTACTATAAGTTGATAAGTCCAATAAGGTATTCTAAAGTATTATGTTTTTGACAGAATTAGGATCAGAATCACAATCAGTGATATTCTCGAAGGTTTTATGTGAACCAGTGGATGCCTCAGGTGAAGGTGGTTGTTGATAACACTTAACCGCCATCTATATATTATACTGGCATGTCATGAAAACCTGTACATGTGCAAGGTAAAATATATACCTTTTTATATTTTTTTTGTTTGTTTTAGACCAAGGTCGAGCTGATCCAACTAATGAGTGAACTCTCCCTCAAGAAGAGCAGTACAACTCCAAACCCAATAACATGGGTTCCTGTCGCATCTGCGGACAGGGTACGTGTACAATGCCCCTGTGGTGGTTCATGACGGGTCCTATTCCGGCAATACAATCTACATCTAGAGTTTCTTTTATGACTGTTAAGAAAAGAGCTATCACATCACAAGTATATTCGTAGCAATCAGTACACCATATAATATTAGGCATGCATTTTATAATCTGGATATTTAAGTTTGAGATGCATTCTTGAGGTTGTAATTGGTAGTAATGACAAGTCTTTGTGGATGATCTACTTCTACTGTACAATAGTGACGTTTCTGTATAGATACGTATATAGTTTTCAAGTATCTATTAGGACACCATTTCAATGCTCCATTTGGTTTACTGTTGTGTTACTTATCATTTAACCTGTTCCTAGTCATTCCTGACCCCTCTGTCAAAACTTAGCGATGGAAACATTGTTGAAGGAAAGGACATTGCAACTTTATGTACCTACTACAGAGTACAGGTAAGTGAACAACACCTCATTTTATTGCAGTTTTACATTCTTCACACATATTTACTTACACATTATAGTTTCTGGTGAGGACATGGGTGTTTAAAACATCAACATTTTTTTTCAGGAAAGCATTGGAAAAATGTACATGTTAATAAAATCTCATGAATTCTCGAGCGAGGCCATGGATGCACTGACAGATGTCTTCATCGGAGATATGTCTCCTCAAGAGAAGGTAACCCAGTTTCCTCTCCGGTAGTCCATTCCTTGTAAAGACAGTTGCAACGTATGCATGCATACACGCGTCTGATGGGGCGATTGATTATATAAATGAGGAACTCTTTAGATACTAATTGTATTTATCTCAAGGTAATTTACTATATCTAGATACACAGAACTGGCAAGAATACACGACATTTATTTACCTACAGCGTTACGTCATTCAAGAAGTAAAGGCGAAATTAGAAACAAAGGACACTGGCCTCGTGGATGATGACCCTCAAGGATATGACAACATTAAGGAGCTCAAGGACTTGCCTCCCCTTGGGTCAAGGGTTATCAGAGGTCCTGACTGGAAGTCCCAAAACCAGGATTTAAATGGACCAGGAACAATTATCAACCATGCTGATGATGACAGTGAGTAATACGTCTTGTTATGTTACACACATTGCCTATTCCACTGACAGAAGAGGAAGTTTACATGTAGAATGACATGCTCGTATCTGTGTCACATTGGCCATTCCAGGGGTGGAAGGGGAAAGGTAACCATGTTATTTTACATGGAAGTATTAAACAGACTGACCGTTCTAAAGACGAACGTAAGTTGTAAATCAAGTGTATGTAACACTTACCATGTAGTGTTCTTATTGCATGTACAATAATTGATAACATTTTTGTAGAGTAAATTCTGCAACTCTAGGTCTGTTTCAGACTACGTCTGGGTTCAGTGGGACTTGAACGATTTTGCATGCCGATACAGGTTTGGCTACGAGGGCATGTATGACATCACTGAAGTGGATAACCAGCCAAGGATCCTTAGTCAGAATGAGCTGATTGAGATTGGGTGCAGAGTGAGAAGAGGTACGAAGCCTGATGTATTTGGCAATGCATTATCATTTCGGTGAACAAAGTAAACACAGAAGTAATAGTTCGACATTTAGGTTTACGTTGCTTTTCCCCTCTATTTGCAGGCGCTGACTGGTCAAGTGGCGATAAAGACGGGGACGTTGGTAACACTGGTGTTATCATCAGGAAAAGGCAAGATGGCAAAGTGAAAGTGAGGAGGACCTTATATAAGCAATGTTGAATAATGAGTGCACATTTCCTTTGTAGACAGGTGAAAGAACGAATCGCACCCAGTACTCAGGAGCAATCTAGCCATATTTAGCACACTTATAGATAACTGATGTTCACACTTTCCATCATTAGTTTCATTTATTTACCCTTATCGAAACCCCTAGTAAGTATAAGTAATGTTTATTGAATATATTTATTTCCAGGTCAGGTGGCACAATGGTATGATTCAGTCCTGTAACTATGGGTATGAAGGAAAAATGGAACTTGTGATATGGTAATGAATTCACCTCCTCATATTATCTTGTCTGTAGAGCATAGTAAACCTAACTTTTATTAAGTTATTTAATGTCAAATCAAACTTCTTAAAATGTAAATGAAAGAGATGACAATATTGATAAGTTCAATGCTTTTTAAACGATAATTCTGGTTCATTAATGAACGTGGCATAATCATATTTCATTTTCTGAAATTCACAGTTATATAGTACTTTGCAGTACAAGATTTAACCAACGGTGTCAGTACTTAAATAATCTACAATGCATCACTCAGTACACATGCACATGTCAATGTGATCATGATTAGGACATTCGTTTTATATACAGCTCCCTAGAAGATATCATACCTTCGGCACAGAGAAAGAGGACACACACAGATGATGTTGCTTCCCAGAAAGGTGACATTTGTGTCATTTCAAACAATGGTATCATGTGAGATCTGTGTTACGACACACGAGTTTACACTGTCGTTAACTGTTACAATATAGATATATTGTTCATCTAACATCCAAGAGAGGAGAATGCATTTGATGCGTTTGTAGAATGAATACACTGTAATGTGTGTAAAGTGTACGTGTTTGTCATCTTGGTGATTTATTTTTATTACAGATCAAAATTATTATCACAAACATATATGTCAACATGATGCTCCAACTTTCATCATCATCAGGTCATGGTGTACCAACTGCTGAGAAACCTCACGTTCTGTGGCAGTGGCATGATGACCGAGGCCGGTGGCGACTGTATGACAGGGGAAATATTGACAAACTCACCAGGGAATTTGATCGAAAACCAACCGGTTCCTGTGTAATACAGAAACAAGGGAGGAGGTAGAATTATACCTATTTTAAGGTTGAACATATTATAATGTTGATGTTCTAATAAAAGGATGAAAGAGTATAGAATAGAATAGAATGTGGGTTTTTTCAGAATATACATGTAAATGTATTTTTACATTGTCATACTGATGTGGAGTTTTAAAGTTTTTATATTTTATTTACAGTTTCCGTGTTTTGTTCAGCTTGATGCAAGTGAAATGTGTGGAAGACAGCACCAGGCATGACGTGAGACGCCTAGGTATGTCAGACACGTTAGAGACATAATGCACGTATAACAGGGAATAGACGCGTGCTATAAACTGACTGCTCTTGAGGGAAGATCCAGAAATGTGTGCTTTGTAATATGTATCAAATCACATGATGCCTTAATATTGTATTAATTGGGAGTGAGATTAGGATACCGCAAGTTATATAAGTTACTGACGATAAATTCCATTTTCAGTGGTGAGTGATGAAGACCGGGATGAATGCGTCGCCAAGGAATTTTCAATCAGTGGTGACAGCTGATGGACCGCCTTGTGGCTTCCAGATGGGGAGGGTTTTATATATACAATGATTTGAAAGAATTTAACCCTTCTACTTTACCGCGCCCATTTAAACAATCTGTTCCATATATTTATGAGACCTACTGTCTGACGCCACTTACAATTAACTCTGTGGTTCAGTAGATTGACATTTCATTTCGAATAAAATGACGCACTGGTCTATAGATTTTGTGGTTAACATAGGTAAAAGTGAGATTTGATTTTCGAGTGATAAAAGGTTGAATATTTCAATTATTTGAGATTGCTGTTGTTTCAAATAAACTATCCTGGTCAAAATCTATTCAAAATAAAGCATTGTCAAAATGTTGGTTAACAGACACAAAACGTATCTCCAGTTGTTCTATACATATCAAACTCATGATTTGGTAAGGTTCTGACATATCGGGTTTCTGTTATTGAACAATTTCAGGTAATATTTTGCAAATGTGAACTCATTATGAATTAGGATTTAGTTATAACTGTTTAAATAATTTCAGGTAATCATGAATTGGATTTGGTTAGGACAGTAACATAAGAACAGTTATATGAATGTGGAGGACATATTTTGTTGAATCAGACTGTATTCTTTAAAATGGTGTAAATCCGGTGTAGACTTCGAGAAATGCCGGATACAAGGCATCCAAAACAATGTTGTGATGTACATTTTACAGATGGAACAACAAACAGTATATAAAAGTTATTACGTGAGATCATTACCATTTGGATATGGATTTGACCCGTGAAGATCCGGGTTAGAATGAACCTTCGGTAACCCATGCTTGTCGTAAGAGGTGACTAACGGGATCGGGTGGTCAGGCTCGTTGACGTGGTTCACACATGTAATCGGTTCCCAATTGCGCAGGTCGATGCTCATGCTGTTGAACGCTTGATTGTCTGGTTCAGACTCGATTATTTACAGACCGCCTCCATATAGCTGGAGTATTGCTGAGTGCGGCACAAAACTAAACTCACTCACTGGATATGGATTTGTATTTATTTGAGAAGCGTATGGTGCGGGCTGTAAAGAGGATAAATCAAATTGTGATGTGTACAAGTTATATTTTAAGATATTTAGATTATGAAACGTAAGATTAAAGTGATGTTTTGAATGGAACAATACCTGCCACATATCAAATCTAAGGTGGCAAGACGTAGAATTACCTTTATACTGAGTGTTGAACTCCCGGTCGTAGTGACCTAAACGCAGACAGATATAATCGTCATATATCAAAAACATCCAAGTTTCATGTGGTCATTATAACTATTTTTGGGGGCATGTCGGAACTATAAAAATTGATTGAATATTAATAAAACTATTAAAAAACAATTGTGTATTTTTATATTCAAGGATACGATGTTTAAACAACTTAATACGGTAACGGCACATTGAATAACTCAACTAATACTAATACTAACATTCTTGTTATGCAGTTGAGATTGGGTATTCCAACTTCCTTGTACTTTATCTCTCACGACACTACAGACATGACATAGATGATCTCAGCCTATCGCACACAGCCGCGTGGCAATGTTATAAATACATCTACATTGTACATACTTCACCCATACTGATCTAGGTCTGATCTTCCGACTCCGTGCATACTTTATAAGAGTGACTCAGGACGCTCGACAGAATGAGACTGATAGAGTGGATAAGTAAGGACAACAAGAGTGGACTTGACTCGCGATATATTGGGCTACTTTCTATACTGAATCTGTACTTATGTAGGTCAAAAATATAACGTAATATAACGTCATAGCATCGATCAATAAGTTATTTTATTCAGTAGAAAAGCTTTTGGCCTACATACATAAAGGCTACAATTTAACAAAGCCGTGAGTAGTTCACAGCAATTATATGAGCTGAGTAAATACGGCATCTTTAATGTAAAGCTTCTTGAGGCCAGGTATTACTGCTTCGTAAAGAACGTATTGGGTAGTTCATATTGATGTACAACAGTATATTTGTAACATATGTTTCACGAATATCAATGTGGACATTTTTAAAGAATGTGAAATTCATCTTTGACATAATTTGACATACATATACAAAATCGACTCTCATGTGGAACACATCACGTCCTCAAATATTTTTATGAAACAGGAGTTGGTTTAAACATATTTTTATTTTGGCCAAAGCCGAAACAGGGATAGTTGAACAAGCCTAATGGCACAGTACACAGGTCTTTGTGAAGCGAATTACCGTTAAACTGATTTTATTTGATAAGATAGTTGTTGCAGTAAGGGCATATGCCCCGTTAGTTTTTGTATAAAACTGATAATCTTTTGATGATAACATACACAATCTGATTTAATGTATTGTTGTACTGTGAACATTGCTCGCTCTGTTTGTTGTGCCATATATTTGTCATTTGTTTTACAATAACTGCAGACCATGGAGCAAAATGCAATATTTAACAGTTTGGTGAAAACAAACACCTTCTTAGTACCTTTGATGGGCATGTTAGTTGAGATGACAAAGAATGACACTAATTTTATGGATATACAACTTCTATACAACTTTCGTAAAAGCCCGTTCATACGGCCAACAGTCAGTTGTTCTAAAAGTATACGATTACCTGACTCAATAACAGTAATCTACAAAGAACGACCTCAACTCAAATCAACGTTAGAACATATTATTACTAAAATACTTTAATCGGAATTTATACTGGTAACCGGATCACAAACGCTGTTTCAAAAAATGAAATTCACAATAAATAATAATTATGGACGAAAGTTTCAATAATCGGTATGCGATTAGTTTCATCGATTTCAATTGTCATCAGTTAGGAGTTGGGAAAACTTTCATATGCTTCTAAACATCACCAAGCCCACCAATGTTATGAGCCTAGCACATTGGGGGTCTTTGAGACTGGTTTCAATAAAACAATGCGAACATATGGCAGATACATACATGTAACAAGGCGCAAAAAGACGTCAGCTAGACGGTATACGTGTAATTCATTCAGGCGCAACGTACATGTATTTAGAAAGCACAATTTGCATCAACAACATCAACATGTGTGACATCTCCACCACCTGTACTGCCTCACATTCATACATCTGAAACATGAACAGGTGTGTCACCTCCACCACCCCAGTACAACTTTACATTCATACATCTGTAACATGTACAGGTGTGTCACCTCCACCACCTCAGTACAGCCTTACATTCTTACATCTGTAACATGTACAGGTGTGACGCCTCTACCACCTCAGTACAGCCTTACATTCATACATCTGTAACATGAACAGGTGTGGCACCTCCACCACCTCAGTACAGCCTTACATTCATACATCTGTAACATGAATAGTTGTGGCACCTCCACCTCCTCAGTACAGCCTTACATTCATACATCTGTAACATGTACAGGTGTGACATCTCTATCACCTCAGTACACCCTTACATTCATACATCTGTAACATGAACAGGTGTGGCACCTCCACCACCTCAGTACAGCCTTACATTCATACATCTGTAACATGTACAGGTTTGACACCTCCACCACCTGTACAGCCTTACATTCATACATCTGTAACATGTACAGGTGTGACATCTCTATCACCTCAGTACAGCCTTACATTCATACATCTGTAACATGAACAGGTGTGGCACCTCCACCTCCTCAGTACAGCCTTACATTCATACATCTGTAACGTGAACAGGTGTGACACCTCCACCTCCTCAGTACAGCCTTACATTCATACATCTGTAACATGAACAGGTGTGGCACCCCCACCACCTCAGTACAGCCTTACATTCATACATCTGTAACATGTACAGGTGTGACACCTCCACCACCTGTACAGCCTTACATTCATACATCTGTAACATGTACAGGTGTGGCACCTCCACCTCCTCAGTACAGCCTTACATTCATACATCTGTAACATGTACAGGTGTGACGCCTCCACCACCCCAGTACAGCCTTACATTCATACGTCTGTAACATGTACAGGTGTGACATCTCTATCACGTCAGTAAAGCCTTACATTCATACATCTGTAACATGTACAGGTGTGACGCCTCTACCACCTCAGTACAGCCTTACATTCATACATCTGTAACATGTACCGGTGTGACATCTCCACCACCTGTACTGCCTCACATTCATACATCTGTAACATGTACCGGTGTGACATCTCCACCACCTCAGTACAACCTTACATTCATACATCTGTAACATGTACCGGTGTGACCCCTCCACCACCTCAATACAGCCTTACATTCATACATCTGTAACATGTACAGGTGTGACACCACCACCCCAGTACAGCCTTACATTCATACATCTGTAACATGTACAGGTGTGGCACCTCCACCTACCCAGTACAGCCTCACATTCATACATCTGTAACATGAACAGGTGTGACGCCTCCAAAACCTCAGTACAGCCTTACATTCATACATCTGTAACATGAACAGGTGTGACGCCTCCAAAACCTCAGTACAGCCTCACATTCATACATCTGTAACATGAACAGGTGTGACGCCTCCAAAACCTCAGTACAGCCTTACATTCATACATCTGTAACATGAACAGGTGTGACGCCTCCAAAACCTCAGTACAGCCTTACATTCATACATCTGTAACATGAACAGGTGTGACGCCTCCAAAACCTCAGTACAGCCTTACATCTGTAACATGTACAGGTGTGGCACCTCCACCACCCCAGTACAGCCTTACATTCATACATCTGTAACATGAACAGGTGTGACGCCTCCAAAACCTCAGTACAGCCTCACATTCATACATCTGTAACATGTACAGGTGTGAGACCTCCACCACGTCAATACAGCCTTACATTCATACATCTGTAACATGTACAGGTGTGACACCACCACCACCCCAGTACAGCCTTACATTCATACATCTGTAACATGTACAGGTGTGACACCTCCACCACCTCAGTACAGCCTTACATTCATACATCTGTAACATGTACAGGTGTGGCACCTCCACCACCCCAGTACAGCCTTACATTCATACATCTGTAACATGCACAGGTGTGACACCTCGATCACCTCCGGACAGCCTTACATTCATACATCTGTAACATGTACAGGTGTGACCCCTCAACCACCTCAGTACAGCCTTACATTCATACATCTGTAACATGTACAGGTGTGACGCCTCTACCACCCCAGTACAGCCTTACATTCATACATCTGTAACATGTACAGGTGTGACGCCTCTACCACCCCAGTACAGCCTTACATTCATACATCTGTAACATGTACAGGTGTGACCCCTCGATCACCTCCGGACAGCCTTACATTCATACATCTGAAACACTTAGTGAGAAATTCATATTCACATGCTTCTTCGACAGAACACTGGTTCATGTACAAACCACCGTTGCGTTGATGTCGTTACGGTAACCAGCCTTGTCTTCAGTCTATATGAACTATATTGTAGAAGTATAAACAACTTCATTGTCATATCAACAGAGACTTTTGGCGTTCCAACTTTTATTGTAGATATTTCCTCGAAGGTGTTTGGCATTATGAGATCACAATTGTGACGTCGTTAGAATGCGCTGTCATAACAATATAGATTGTTTGAAAAAAGTGTGTCAATCATTGTCAAGCCAACACTATATTTGCAATACATGATTTAACGGTGTCGGCTCATGAAGTCGGAATATCCTTGTCTAACAACAGGCAGACCCGTCATTGTGTCTATAATCCAACGTTAATTGCTAAAATGTCATAACGCACAGCACGTAGATCTTTTTTCCTCCGCTGGCCCGTGATGATTTGACCATAGGTCGACGTTTTAGGCCCTAACCGATTTAACACCCTGAAGCTGTAGCAGAGTATATTACGCTCTTCTCAGTTGTCGCTCGACTTCCTTGTAAACCGTGAGATCATCCGCGTTCATTCCTAAAAAACACATTGAACATTAGCAAGAAATACGTTAAAAATATTAATAATACATTTCAAAATTATAATCTGTAACAACAGTCCCCAACAATTTTCAAAAAGGATATCAATGTACGTTAGACATTTATTTATTTGCCGGGGATTGTTCAGTTTGAACATTGCACAATACCTGTTAATACCACATGGAAATTACCATGTTACTTTGGTTGATATATGTTTTACATTATGAAATATTAACACGATGCCAATGAGGTCTTTGAACGGCATTTAGAAGTGATACACATAAGGAAGGGAGTTTTTAAGGATATCAACTTCTTTATTATGAGGAACACAATGTTTCGGAGTATATCCCTTACTCCTTTATCAGGCGAATGAATGGTATGAGACAGAGAGCATATATTATATGTACATGTAAGAATGACAAAAGTAATGAGACAACAATAATGCATGCTGAACGATGGAACAACTGGAAGCCAGCACTAACAGTGAATTAGTGCTGAATGGATAATATAGAAGAATTTGACATCCGTACAAAAACTTTCTTCCTTACGATACCAATGGCTATACAACGTACTTGTTCTTTTGACCTTTCTCATTGTGTCATCGTCTATGCTTTTTTCCTGATGTTCCTTGAATATGACCCGGTAGCTGGAGAAAGATAAGCGAACCAAGAAAATAGAGCGAATAATTGGACGACAACTCATAATACATCAGTAATATTAATACATTGAACATAATCTGCTTTCTTCACTGTGTTTTCTCACATTAAGCATGATTTATATTGTCACATATATTACTCTTATAGTTCTCATGGAGCCAGCCTGATCAGAATGCTTGTCTAACAAGTCGAGTTGACCAGGATGAGTGTTATAGCACCCTTACTGTGTAGAAGGTTAGTTATATCCATAAGTGCTTGTCTGGGCAAGGTTTGTATATTTCTTAGGTACAAATACAGCTATAACACAAATTAAAGCAACATCGTCATGTTAAAGTATATTAGTCGATTAGTACCTCTTGCCATTTCTTTGTAACAGACACGAACTACCGTTGGGGCGTTGAAAGACTTTTTCTAACTTCTGGTTTTCTTCATCTGAGTATAGTCTCCATTGTCCCTCCCCATCCTGCCACTGCCACGTCCATCTGTAATCTTCCTCATCCATCTCTGGAGCAGGGTCTTGTAACAATGTAGTCAGTTGTGTTGATTACAATGGTTTGCTGTCTCCTTACATGGTCATATAGTGTGGTCAATACGACATTTTTTTTAACATAGTTTGAAAACCAAATATACTTACTAACTAAAGGTTTAACTTTCCTTTCGTCTGGTACATCTGCTAGACCACACCACATCTGCCCATCTGCTTGTGTCGCTTCCTTCAGACTTTCAATTGGATCTCTGTAAAATGGCAGAAACCAATGACATCATGCTTTCGGAAAACCCAGAACCGATTACCTGGAACTATGTGAAATAAACTATCTAGATACAGTAAGAGCTTAAAACCATAGCACTTGATCCGCAAAACATGCAAAATACAATAAGTCAATTAGATCGATACACACCTAAGGGTCAAATCTATCTTGCCTTCGCGCCCACATCTATAGACATCAATGTGTGCAGTAGTCAGCCACCGCACCTGAGGAGGAACAAATTATAGATGGCATGTGAACTTGTCATGTTATGAGATTTGCCCCTACTGTTAGTGTGAAGAGCTTGACTGACCGTAACTAGGCCCTCCTGATGGTTTTTAATGACCACTCCAACGCACCCATCACCGCCATCTTGGTATCCATATCTGGACTCCCAGTCTGAACCTAAGAAAGAAATTGCACAAAGCGGTGTCATGAAGCTGAGTCAATAAAAACTGTACACATTTCCTCATACATGACAATTAAATAATAATAGATATAGTTTATTTAGAAATATTTCTTAAGGAGAATATAGTATGATTGGATATATGTGTCACATCCGTTGATAATACCTCTCTTTCTTAATAATACCTCTTGTGACTTCACATCCGATGTCAAACGTCATGTCTGAGGAATTATATCTGGGTTGATCAGTGACGACCATGACATCAAAAGCGCCCTCTGCACCATACCTGCACTCAGATTTCCGACCGTTGTCCCAGTGTACCAGCACCCAGTCTAACAAACATACCTCTGATGCATTACAGTTAATTATTAGTGTAATGTTAATAGAGCCTAAAACATGTCTTTCAGATGTATAGCAACGAATAGTGTTTGAAGCTCTTGGTACCTGAGAGAAGACCCGTGAAGATCCGGGGTAGAAATAGTCTTCAGCAACCCATGCTTGCCACAAAAGGCGACTATGCTTGTGTGGCAGACACCAGTTCTGAATAGTTTGTTGTGAATAGTTTTATTTAATTCAGGTGCTTTTATGTTCTAGTATTTTAAAGTTGTTAGGACAGTAGTTTTTCAACTTCTCCTTACTATGCCTTTTGGAGCAGTCTATAGAGGTAAAGGGGTTTTAGCTTAGTCCATGTTTAAGTTTTTGTTTCCTCTTTGTTCTACCCAAGTCTTGTTTTCATTGGTCGGTTTAAACTGTGCACATTTTCATCCATCTTGCACTTGACAAGACACTGATTTACAAACTGGTCTGACCTTTGACTAATTGGAACAGAGAATTCTCATTGTTTAAGGTTAGTAATATATATTATTGCTAGCTATTATATAAACATATAATATAGGTAGTCTAAGCTATGTATATCATATTTCAACACCTTTAATATATTTATCTTTGGTATGGTGATCATGTCACCATAGTCATTAAATCAGTAGGGCTAAATATTCTGACATGTTCTAACCTTTCTGTGTGAATGTTTAGTGAGTGAATGCCTTATCTTAATTAATGTGTTATGGTAATTATTTGCAATGTGAAACACTTCGCTCAGTGTTCAGCCATTTCATGTGTTTTACGTCTCCAGAGTGATATTTTTATGCACTGGGTTTCATTGTATATCTGGTAGCTATATACTTACATTCATGTGTTCCTGTATAGGTTAACACTGTCACTGTACCACTGAGGCGGCTGCCCAGGAGAATTAACACCCCAGTGTCACCCACAGGGTACGGATAATTTGAATATTAATTATTATTCTCTGTATATATTGTACATAATGTATTATGATAGATATGTATCACTGATTGCCATCTGTATCATTGGTACCACAAAGTGGTAATTAATTATTGTATTGAGAACATGTAATGTAATTTATAACAATGATCCATGTTCATTGTATACCTCATGTAAAGTACACATGTATGTAATCCAGACAATGATTTTATGCCTCATTAACAAAGATATTTATATGCGAATGTGAAAGTGTACTTGTAAGTTACTTGTATGTGAAAGATTCATCATGTTTTTATGATAATACCTTATGTTATTGTTTTGTGTATTGCAAGTGTCGTTACCTCTCTTACTGCAAATAAAACCTCACACCTGTAGCCTGTGTTTGGACATCGTCATTTATACCCATCACAACCCGGTAACACTTGTCGTAAGAGGCGACTAACGGGATCGGGTGGTCAGGCTCGCTGACTAGGTTGACACATGTCATCGGTTCCCAGTTGCACAGATTGATGCTCATGCTGTTGATCACTGGATTGTCTAGTTCAGACTCGATTATTTGCAGATCACTGCCATTTAGCTGGAATATTGCTGAGTGCGGCGTAAAACTAAACTCACCTAAGAACAAGTTTTCATGATATAAATTAGACGATCCTTTCTAACCACTGATGAGCATGGAACTAAAGCATCAGACACGAGACTTTACCCTTTTTCGCTGGAATATGACTGACAATTGTCCCTGGTCCCTCCGTGTGGTAGTTATCCCACTTCCTGTCTTTCCAGTGAATCACTCTGCTGCCTAGATGTGGTAACCCTGGTAACTCCACATTTGTGCCAAGTTCTGGAACACTGACGCCCTTTTCAATCAGTTCTGTCACCGACTTTGTAATTTCCCTCTGAAAGTAAGAGGCTCATATGTCAATAGCTGTACACACAGATACAGGTAACCTAACGACAGTGTTGTACAAATGTTGGACGTCAAAGGCTGTGTGTTATTCTCCTTTAACAATGGGGGGTGAGGGAACAATTCGATCACGTTAAAATGTATCAAAATTATGCATAATGTAAGAATATGTTAGGTGTAAGGCATGTGTAATTTAGTAAGGCGTCAGTATAATATATCAGACTTTAGATGCATTCATCATAGATTATAAGCATAGCATTTAAATGTGATACGTTATTATACTAAGTATAGGAGAGTATAATTCTATATAATTTTAAGCAAGGTGCTTGAACTACCAACCTGGTCTTCATTACTGAATTTACCCCCAAGTGCCTCTAAGAGAGTTTGTATCTGGCTCGACGTTGTGTCTGCCTCAGGGCCGATTCCATTGTTGATGCATTTGTATACTCTGCTGATTGTTGTCTACATATTGGAAAGTAAAATGGGGATCTTTCAAATGTAATAATTCAAGGCATGATCTGATGATTATTGTTAACATGAAATTATCCAAGTTTTGCCACTATTTCAGATATATCTCTATTCTGTAGCGACATCATAGAATACATTGTCTTTATGTCCACTTATTCAATAATTCATTTCATTTCAGCAACTTCTTTCCCAAGTTACATCGTCACAATTTCATACCTGAACTCGCTGGTACGTGCATAGTTCAGTGATGTCTGCTCCTTCAAGGCAAAACCCGTTGCTCTTCTTTGCCAGGAACATCATGAAATCCTGTCAAAATAATATTAGTAAGAAGACGTTGCCATAGAAGGTTGTGACCATCTACATGATCTTCAAGAAAATATTCGTAGTGCTTCACGGGAATATTGTATAACACGGGAGTTTATACATACTCGGTCGGCACTTCCCACAGGAACCCATACAACAGGTTTGGGAAAGATGGATTCATTCGTCAGTCTTTGAAGTAAATCGATAATCTGCATCTTCACCTGCAAAAGATGAAAAAAACCCTTTTGAATGTTAATATGCTCTTAACATTTGCAATCTGCCAATATAGTCAAAATAGCAAAACAGAAACACAATTTGTTTGTTATTAGAGCAAGGAGTGAAACCATAGCAGTCCTGACATTTGCATGTGACCTTGCCCTGTATTTACTCACATCAGAACCAGGTAACTCCATAACCAACATCATGCATTTGAGCATCCATCTACGCAACTTTGTTACAAAGACCTGCATCAAGTATGCCAGAGAGCCTGACCACCCGAACCTACCATTCGCCTCTTACAAGAATGGAATGCTGAAGACCAGTTCTAACCCCATCTTCACAGTCGAGATGACATTTAATATATAATCATGGCCCTGCTACTCAATAAACGTTATGGTCATACACATGTTTTCTCCTATATTGTATACTGACTAGCAGTATTGGTAATTGTGGTTGCAACGTAAAAGCTCCTACATACCTGGGTGTCAGTACGGTGGACATCTCCGATTCCGGTGTCGCTTTCACTGGATGCATTTCCATCTGTGAAGATGATCAGGCGTGGTCGAAGGGCGACTACTCCAGACAGATTTACTATTGCACCTGGCCATATTGATATGGAATTAATCGAAATGTCTATAGCTCACCATTTTCGTCACAAAGGAGTAATGCGACTTAAGGTATCGCCTAGTTTTATTATGTCTGTACGTAGTAGCAGTTTAACAGCATTCTTCTTCACTTACTGTCTCGCATATTAAATTGTGTACACAAACCCTTACCCCGGCGCTTGAGACAGCACAAACACACAAGTAGAGCTTCAAAGAGAGGAGAGCAACCACCGAGCTCCAGCTTCTCTGAAACAAAGAGAAAGGTGACATATGTACCTTGAAATTTCTTCTATTCATGGAAATGTAAAACGGTCTAAACCTGGGCCTAGATTTTCGAAGCTCTCTTAGCGCTAAGATAGTCGTAAGTTAAGGTTAATGTATGTCACTTACGACTATCTTAGCGCTAAGAGAGCTTCGAAAATCTAGGCCCTGATGGTTTAAGTATGTTCATGTACGTCGCTTGCATGTTTCTGTTATGACTAAGTGCTGAAGCTGAGTAAACTGAAGCTTCCTACCGATAGCATCCCTGACACTTGTGTAGTCATTGCTGAGGTGGTGTTCAATACGTGAAACACCGCCGAATGCAACGACTCCAATATTTTCTTCTAGGTCGTGTGCCTGTACTATATCCTCTATTCCTGTAATTTAGAATACAGAGAAAATATACAATACATATAAACTGACAAACCAGCATTACAAGTATTTACTCTATGTCAAATGTTGGGTGTGAGTCTGATTCATTATTTTGTCAATTAGATTCTACAAACTGTCCAGAACGAAACTTTACGCGCCATCAATGAAGTCGAGAGCTTGTTTCTTCATCTGTTGAAGTCCCTGGTGCCCAATACTCGTGGATGTGTCGAAACATAGGACTGTGCCCAGTGAGGTTGAGGCTCTCGGCGGGAATGTTTGCTCTGTAATGACAACAAACCATTTGAAAGACAAAGCCACACTCAAATGCATTTGTAGTATTAGAAAAATAATACTGAACTGGTAAATATGTATCTGACAAACATGTATATAATAATGTGCAAACAATCAAGCAAAGTTGTATACACATGCCACTCGTGAAGATCCCGGTTAGACTTGATCCACGTTTGATGTAAAAGGGTAAGTGAATCGGGTGGTGAGGCTCGTTGACTTGGTTGTCATCGTATCCCAATTGCCATGATCGATGCTATCACTGGATTGTCATAACGCGATTATTTAGACAGCTGTCGTATAGCTGAGATAGTGCGGCGTTAAGCAACAAACAAACTACATTACGTGATGTATTCTGCAGTTGATGCTGATCTATTGTTCCTACGTTATATGTCTATCAAGAGGGTTGTTAAAAATACGAACTTAATCAACATATTCGATTGGTAGTTATTGGTAGTTTAATGTCGTAACCTCCTCTAAGCCTTAACTATCATTCTCCAATCCCCAATGAAACTGAGCATATACACACTTGAATTAAGTTCCCGTCTGATGGTTGTGTTAATACGATTTGCCCGTGGATCATCGCCCATAATCTGGATGAATGGTGCCATGTAACCTGAAACAACACATGTGTATATTACACAAGCACGCTCTCCCATCAATGGCATTACCATATGCCTAATGTCACATCACAAAGATGACCGTAACTCCGTTTGAGAATACGCAAAAGGTTTCCTAAAAGGTGGTCATCTCGAAATATATCATTCAATATTTTTAGAAAAATGTAATCCCAGTTGTTAGATGTCACTAAAAGATAATTTCACTTCTAGTGAATATGATTTGCCATGTTCCATGTATTTCATGTACTATTTGCATCTGGAGTTTTAGTTTACTGTATTAGCTGTTCACGGTCACGAGGGGGACATGGGTTGATGTACCCTCTATGTTTGTTGATGTACAGGATACAACAATCCATTTGCCTGGAGGGACCAGTCAACAACGTATTTATCATGCCGATCACTCCAATGTTAATTTTGAACTGTTTGAAGCACTGGTATCGGATCATAAAAAGGAGTACCAGAGTTAGGCAATTAGCCAATAATGACAACAGTCAAAACACTCAATAAGAAAAACATATTTAGAGTTATCTCCCTTCCATCGATTTGCATTCGCAAAATATCGGTAATTTCCGTACATCTAAAGCGACACAATTATTCGAGAAAAAGAATTACTAAGACGAAGTACCAAATAAGTTCGGCTTTCCCAGCGGGTTATAGTAACTATACAGACAATGTTCTAAGGGGGTACATTGAAAATAATAGAAGAGCGCTCATCCACCTCACACAACGAATTCTATGTGTGAGGTTGATAATTGTTGTATTTCATTACCTTCCGCTGCAATTTCATATCTATCGGACATCGTCATTCCGGACGCCATTACTTCCCTGCAAAGACAGTCACCGATTTTACAATCAAGTAGAGTCCGTTTGATTTCATTTGAGACCGATGAATTTACTCACTAACACAAAATCTCATAAACCAAGGTTTGCACAGTCACCGTCAGGTAATCAACAAGCGCGTGTAGTGAAATGGTTCGCCCTCGTAAAATATAGCGAAAAGTGTCAACGAAATAATGATCGTGTGCTATACAACAACTTTTTATTCGGATGCCCAAAATTTTAAGACATATCATCAGAGTTGGTCTGTAAATTTCACGTGACTGTGCAAAATTTGGTTTTGTTGCAATTATTAGATTTTGTGTTAGTGAGCAATTCATCGGTCTCAAACGGACTGTACAAGTACTGATACCGTGTTGCAAGTGAGTCGTAAACGGAACATTTGTGGTCTCACACAATCAGTGTTATATATTCGCGATACGAACGACCAGTACTAGTGATGCCAGCCTTGCTACATACCTTGACCAAGGTGTACCGTGCTCAGGTTCTGTGTTTGGAACAGATGATGGGACTGTGAACATGTTTCTTGCTTCAGCTTCATAATAGGAGGTTGTTGTGGGTGATACCTGATCAAGGTTAGCATTTACTGGTGTCTCCGGTATGGTAGGCTGATCCTCAGATTTGGTATGCCGCCTAATTGTGGAACCAGAATGTGCTTTTCCAGATCCTTTTTCCTCATCAGTTGTAAGCTCACAAGCTGGCTTTGAGCTCTGCTCGTGCAGGTTTTTGTCATCATCATTTGCAACAGGTCTTTCCTCTCTCTGGCCAGAAGTAACGTTTTGTCCCTCGCCTGATGCGAGCGCATGTACTTGTGTTGTGTTCCCTGTCCTCGGCAAGTCTCCTGTTGCTTCTTCACCATCTCCTGAAACTCTTGACAATGGCGGGAAGGAAACACTGCAATGTCCACCAGTGTCATGCTCATCAAAATGAGAACTGTTTAATCTTGTACTCATATTCAAAGATTCCATAATGGTATTCAAGGACGTCCGCATGAATTCATTCTGACGTCTCTGTTCTTCAAATCTGGCCTCTATATTCTCCTGATGCCACTTGAATTTCCTCTCTATTTGTTCGTATGCCTTTGTTGACGACTCATCTTAAAGCAAAGCATAGTTTTAAGTCGGTTAAGGTTTGTTACAATTAGATTAAACTAAAACAGGTTTAGAAGCATTGCAGATGTAGTAACACTGATAATGCATTGAACCATTTTATCTCTTACTAGTTTCATCTTTCGTTTGCCACAGAAAGCATATTTTGGAAATGATGAGGTTAATTGCCATACCAACAAAGAAGGAACATAGAATGTGTTAGTTGTACGTCTTATATATTTTTGGTAAATATTCTAATCGTTACCTTTGACCCTGGAAACATCTCTCATACCATGAGCCCCAGGTAACCGACCTGCCATCCTCCTGTGCGAAAAACATATATTATTTATGGGATACAGTTAAACGAACATCTTCGTTTAACTGTCATGTGTATATACTGGGTTCAGCAAGATATGTTAAATGTTTTCACCGATGTATCTCTTTACGTACCCGGATGTCAACGGCGCGATAGGTCTGTTTCCATGGCCACCAGCTTCACGTGGCTTCTCACCAACAGCAAACTCCTCACTCACAGCGAGGTCATTTTCTCTCAGTTCAAATGTCACATCGATTTGTCCCTCTTCAAAGACTAAATTCCTGAAATTCTTCGAAACAACATTTATGTTGTCCCTGAGCTTTTCTAAAGAAGGACTATCCACATGAAGAAGTTCAAAGCTTAGTGGAGATGGTTTAAGCGTTAATATTTTGGTTTTGTAGTCTTTAAACATCATGACTGCAAACTGTTGAAGCTTTCTAAAATGTTCGTTGCATAAGACACCGACAATGCGCGGGATAACAAACGAGTCTCTCTCTTTCACGTGTATGACTAATGCTGAGTGGTGTGACGTGTTGGCGGAGTTGTCCCAAGATAGCGTCACAAGGTCCATCTCCTCTGAAGTGCCACACAAGAGTTCAGATGTAGTTAAACAATCCAGAAGACAATACCAAGAAGTGTACGTGTTTATGAACAGTTCCAAAGCATATTGTAAATTCTGTGTAACACAGAAGCAAGACTTTACACATAAATTGGCTGTGCAGTGTCACACTCATATAACCATGCAGTAAATACACGTGTAGTAAGTGAGTGAGGTTGGTTTGGGAGCAAACCGGGATTCGAACCCATAGTCGTTTCAGGCATGTCCACGGAGCACATCTCTGCGACGCTTCATATAAATGACCGGTCAATACGAGCCTCCCTCATACACACAATCCACATTGATTTTCGATTTTACGAAGAGCACAATTTAATAAAGTGATAAAGATGAATTTATGTGACATTCTGGATAGTTTCTAAGTTTATTGTTTCTCATAAAAGTGGCGTGACAAGATATATTTATACCTGTAAAAGTTCCTCGATCAGATAACGTCAAAGCGTTGGTGTCAACCTGTATATCAACAACTGCACAAGACCCGCCTAACGTCAGAGTGCCTGTCTCGCGGATTTCCCGAAACACCAGGGAATCGATGTCATTCCAGTCAACCATGTGAGGCATTGCCGCACACCTCTCTCGCAGTTCCCGAAGTGGGTCGGTTGCCCGCTCCATCTCTGAAACCTGATTTTCGTGTTTGCGATAACTTTAGAATAACTTAACCAACCACCACCACTGGTGGTATCGGTTCGGGCATGGAGTGACCTCAGACAGATTTGACCTTTTGTAAGTAGTTGATATGACCAGAGCGCGTACGCGCACACACACACAAAAAAAAACACAGAGGGAGATAGAGAGGCAGACAGACACGTACACAGAGACAGAGAGAGAGAGAGAGTCGTACACACACAAAAACACATACAGAGAGAGTGTCTCACACAGAGACACACACACACACACACACACATACACGCGCGATCTGTGTAGTCTTTGTGTCCATTGTGGTTTGTTCCAGTAATGAACAACATACTGTCAACTATACTGCGTGTTTGTAAGGCAGACTACCAGACGTATAACCAGAGTATAGTGTCTAGGTGGCCACGTTTATCATCACACTTCTTTACATAACATATTCATAACTCATTCTGTCTCTCGACTACCTCAATTATCTGTAAAGTGCGTACTCACTTATTTCATGGACGATGCGTCCTTGACCTCATATGACATGTAAATTAGCTCGGTTGTTACTTCCTTCAGCACCTCCCTTGTACTGGTCATGTTAAACGGAAAGTTGTCAGAGATATATATAGCTGGAAATACCAAGCTAAATATAGACCAACTCAAATTCCAATAATAGAGTAGTCGACATGAACACAGATACAACAATGGCGGCGAACAACATTCGAAAATGAAAACAAAGTACTTCCTTTTAATGGTCACCTGTTGTCAATTTCTTTATTCGTATGTGTCTACCAGATGCAACTGGAAATTCAACCACCGAACGTTACAAACACTGAAAAAAATCAATACCTAACTTCTATATGTTTGTCGCTGGGGAAAAGGTTATGTTGTGACGCTTCTCTGTGACGCTTCTCTGTGACGCTTCTCTGAATGGACGTTCTTAGTCGTGAGAGTACATTTTTATGGAGTTAAATTATGTCCTCACACAATGTGCAGTCACTCATATACCGGACCTTAGTTAACTTGTCTTAACAAGGGGGCACTATCAACGTTAAAGGAGTGTTATATCAATACTTTGATGCATAAAAAGTAATCTGTAAAAACATCTCTCCCCACCCCTAGAGAATTTTTTGACAGATAACTTTTTATGCATCAAATTATTGATAACTCCAGCCATGATATACTCGTGCCAATAATGGTTGTCACCCCCACCCCAACCCCACCTCACAAAAATTGAAGGGGTGACAACCATTATTGGCATGAGTATATTAACTTATTCGAACGAACATTTATTTTTCTTACATATACTTTCTTTTATTGACAAATATCTAAATTATAACACTGAAATATGGTGTGTGTTCATAAAATAAGATATATGACAATAAAGTACAATGTGATTTGTATCTCTTGCTTTACGTCAATATCCATTGAAACTATCCATTGTATAGATTATATGTAATCTACAATAACTGAAAAGAACACCTGCCGACATTTATGATATCTTAGAAAGACTGTTTGATAACTGTTCCTTCTTTCACGCTGAAAGAGCAACACAAATACCTAAAACTGCAAGTATTTGATAAATCTATCCGTATATATTACACAGGATACATTCACTTATGACATTCAAAAGACAAACATAACTCCCTATCTTGTCTTATATGAACAATCGTATTATTCCATTCACCATTACAGACCGGTCCTTTCTCAACTGGTTATCTGGTTATTAAGTGGGATCAGTCCTTTCTCATCACATATTAGCATCTGTGATCAGTCCTTTCTCATCACATACTAGCATCTGTGATCAGTCCTTTCTCTTCACATACTAGCATCTGTGATCAGTCCTTTCGCATGACATATTAGCATCTGTGATCAGTCCTTTTTCATCAAATATTAGCATCTGTGATCAGCCCTTTCTCATCAAATACTAGCATCTGTGATCAGTCCTTTCTCATCACATACTAGCATCTGTGATCAGTCCTTTCTCATCACATATTAGCATCTGTGACCAGTCCTTTCTCATCACATACTAGCATCTGTGATCAGTCCTTTCGTATTACATATTAGCATCTGTGATCAGTCCTTTTTCATCAAATATTAGCATCTGTGATCAGTCCTTTCTCATCACATACTAGCATCTGTGATCAGTCCTTTCGCATGACATATTAGCATCTGTGATCAGTCCTTTCGCATGACATATTAGCATCTGTGATCAGTCCTTTCTCTTCACATACTAGCATCTGTGATCAGTCCTTTTTCATCAAATATTAGCATCTGTGATCAGTCCTTTCGCATGACATGTTAGCATCTGTGATCAGTCCTTTCGCATGACATGTTAGCATCTGTGATCAGTCCTTTCTCATCACATACTAGCATCTGTGATCAGTCCTTTTCATCACATATTAGCATCTGTGATCAGTCCTTTCTCATCACATATAAGCATCTGTGATCAGTCCTTTCGCATCACATATTAGCATCTGTGATCAGTCCTTTCTCAAATCATATTCGCAGCTGGTATCATTCCTTTCTCTTCACATATTAGTATCTGTGGTCAGTCCTTTCTCATCACATATTAGTATCTATGGCCACTAGTTGCTCAGTCCTTGTAAAATCCGTATTAGCATGTCTGGTGAATCCTTTCTAAACTCGTAACAGTTTTGGTTAGGAGATGGTAGCTGGGATCTAGGACTGAATGTGTCGCTCTGCTTCTTCCATGCCTTTTAATTCTTCATCTGTCACAGCTGAAAATCGAAAGACACATTACACTGATAATTTGTTATCATCATTGTATCAGAGATTGTGTTCCAACTATTTATCACACATGTTCAACAACAATTTAACAACGCCATTGTATAACCCAACAAATTGCATAATAAACAGAGCATCACCAGCGTATACTCAGACCACCACCATTGTATAATACACAGACCATCGCCAGTACATATACACAGACATCACCATTGTATAATACACACACCATCACTAGTACATATACACAGACATCACCATTGTATAATACACACACCATCACCAGTATATATACTCAGACCACCACAATTGTATAATACACAGACCATCACCAGCGTATACTCAGACCACCACCATTGTATAATACACAGACCATCACCAGTATATATACACAGACATCACCATTGTATTATACACAGACCATCACCAGTATATATACACAGACATCACCATTGTATTATACACAGACCATCACCAGTATATATTCACATACATCACCAGTGTATTATACACAGACCATCACCAGTATATATACAAAGACATCACCATTGTATAATACAAAGACCATCACCAGTATATATACACAGACATCACCATTGTATTATACACAGACCATCACCAGTATATATTCACATACATCACCAGTGTACACAGACCATCACCAGTATATATACACATACATCACCAGTGTATTATACACAGACCATCACCAGTATATATACACAGACATGACCATTGTATAATACAAAGACCATCACCAGTATATATACACAGACATCACCATTGTATTACACACAGACCATCACCAGTATATATACACAGACATCACCAGTGTATAAGACACAGACCATCACCAGTATATATACACATACATCACCAGTGTATTATACACAGACCATCACCAGTATATATACACAGTCATCACCATTGTATTATACACAGACCATCACCAGTATATATACACAGACATCACCATTGTATAAGACATAGACCATCACCAGTATATATACACATACATCACCAGTGTATTATACACAGACCATCACCAGTGTATAATACATACCATCACCAGTATATATACACAGACATAACCAGTGTATAATACACAGACCATCACCAGTATATATACACAGACATCACCAGTGTATAATACATACCATCACCAGTATATATACACAGACATAACCAGTGTATAATACACAGACCATCACCAGTATATATACACAGACATCACCATTGTATAATACACACACCATCACCAGCATATATACACAGACATCACCATTGTATAATACACAGACCATCACCAGTATATATACACAGACATCACCATTGTATTATACACAGATCATCACCAGTATATATACACAGACATCACCATTGTATAATACACAGACCATCACTAGTATATATACACAGACATCACCAGTGTATTATACACAGACCATCACCAGTATATATACAAAGACATCACCATTGTATTATACACAGACCATCACCAGTATATATACACAGACATCACCATTGTATAATACACAGACCATCACCAGCATATATACACAGACATCACCATTGTATTATACACAGACCATCACCAGTATATATACACAGACATCACCATTGTATAATACACAGACCATCACCAGTATATATACACAGACATCACCATTGTATTATACACAGACCATCACCAGTATATATACACAGACATCACCATTGTCTAAGACACAGACCATCACCAGTATATATACAGAGACATCACCAGTGTATAATACACCGACCATCACCAGTATATATACACAGAGCATCACCAGTGTATTATACACAGACATCACGATTGTATTATACACAGACCATCACCAGGATATATACACAGACGTCACCATTGTATAAGACACAGACCATCACCTGTATATATACACAGACATCACCATTGTATTATACACAGAGCTTCACCGGTATATATACACAGACATCACCAGTGTATATACACAGAGCTTCACCGGTATATATACACAGACATCACCAGTGTATAATACAGAGAGCACCACCAGTATATATACACAGACATCACCATTGTATTATACACAGACCATCACCAGTATATATACACAGACATCACCAGTGTATAATACACAGAGCACCACCAGTATATATACACAGACATCACCATTGTATTATACACAGACCATCACCAGTATATATACACAGACATCACCATTGTATTATACACAGAGCTTCACCGGTATATATACACAGACATCACCAGTGTATAATACACAGAGCATCAACGGTATATATACACAGACATCACCAGTATATAATACACAGAGCACCAGCAGTGTATATACACAGAGCATCACCAGTGTATTATACACAGACCATCACCAGTATATATACAAAGACATCACCATTGTATTATACACAGACCATCACCAGTATATATACACAGACATCACCATTGTATAATACACAGACCATCACCAGTATATATACACAGACATCACCAGTGTATTATACACAGACCATCACCAGTATATATACACAGACATCACCATTGTATTATATACAGACCATCACCAGTATATATACACAGACATCACCATTGTATAATACACAGACCATCACCAGCATATAAACACAGACATCACCATTGTATTATACACAGACCATCACCAGTATATATACACAGACATCACCATTGTATAATACACAGACCATCACCAGTATATATACACAGACATCACCATTGTATTATACACAGACCATCACCAGTATATATACACAGACATCACCATTGTCTAAGACACAGACCATCACCAGTATATATACACAGACATCACCAGTGTATAATACACAGACCATCACCAGTATATATACACAGAGCATCACCAGTGTATTATACACAGACATCACCATTGTATTATACACAGACCATCACCAGGATATATACACAGACGTCACCATTGTATAAGACACAGACCATCACCAGTATATATACACAGACATCACCATTGTATTATACACAGAGCTTCACCAGTATATATATACACAGACATCACCGGTGTATATATACACAGAGCATCACCGGTATATATACACAGACATCACCAGTGTATAATACACAGAGCACCACCAGTATATATACACAGACATCACCATTGTATATACACAGAGCATCACCGGTATATATACACAGACATCACCAGTATATAATACACAGAGCACCAGCAGTATATATACACAGAGCATCACCAGTGTATTATATACAGACCATCACCAGTATATATACACAGACATCACCATTGTATAATACACAGACCATCACCAGTATATAAACACAGACATCACCATTGTATTATACACAGACCTTCACCAGTATATATACACAGACATCACCATTGTATAATACACAGACCATCACCAGTATATATACACAGACATCACCATTGTATTATATACACAGACCATCACCAGTATATATACACAGACATCACCATTGTCTAAGACACAGACCATCACCAGTATATATACACAGACATCACCAGTGTATAATACACAGACCATCACCAGTATATATACACAGAGCATCACCAGTGTATTATACACAGACATCACCATTGTATTATACACAGACCATCACCAGGATATATACACAGACGTCACCATTGTATAAGACACAGACCATCACCAGTATATATACACAGACATCACCATTGTATTATACACAGAGCTTCACCGGTATATATACACAGACATCACCGGTGTATATACACAGAGCATCACCGGTATATATACACAGACATCACCAGTGTATAATACACAGAGCACCACCAGTATATATACACAGACATCACCATTGTATATACACAGAGCATCACCGGTATATATACACAGACATCACCAGTATATAATACACAGAGCACCAGCAGTATATATACACAGAGCATCACCAGTGTATTATACACAGACCATCACCAGGATATATACACAGACGTCACCATTGTATAAGACACAGACCATCACCAGTATATATACACAGACATCACCATTGTATTATACACAGAGCTTCACCGGTATATATACACAGATATCACCAGTGTATATACACAGAGCTTCACCGGTATATATACACTGACATCACCAGTGTATAATACACAGAGCACCACCAGTATATATACACAGACATCACCATTGTATTATACACAGACCATCACCAGTATATATACACAGACATCACCATTGTATTATACACAGGAGCTTCACTGGTATATATACACAGACATCACCGGTGTATATATACACAGAGCATCACCGGTATATATACACAGACATCACCAGTGTATAATACACAGAACACCACCAGTATATATACACAGACATCACCAGTGTATATACACAGAGCATCACCGGTATATATACACAGACATCACCAGTATATAATACACAGAGCACCAGCAGTGTATATACACAGAGCATCACCAGTGTATTATACACAGACCTTCACCAGTATATATACACAGACATCACCATTGTATTATACACAGACCATCACCAGTATATATACACAGACATCACCATTGTATAATACGCAGACCATCACCAGTATATATACACAGACATCACCAGTGTATTATACACAGACATCACCATTGTATTATACACAGACCATCACCAGGATATATACACAGACGTCACCATTGTATAAGACACAGACCATCACCAGTATATATACACAGACATCACCAGTATATAATACACAGAGCACCAGCAGTATATATACACAGAGCATCACCAGTGTATTATACACAGACCATCACCAGTATATATACACAGACATCACCATTGTATAATACACAGACCATCACCAGCATATATACACAGACATCACCATTGTATTATACACAGACCATCACCAGTATATATACACAGACATCACCATTGTATAATACACAGACCATCACCAGTATATATACACAGACATCACCATTGT